TGACGAGCAGGCGGGTGAGTGCAGGTGAGTATAAGGAGTCGAGCCAGGTGGCTCCCGGCTCCTCCGCTGCGGCGTCGTCTGCCAAGGGCCTCAAGAGACTTCAAGCGCGCTCACGGTCTTACCTTGGGGCGGCGGTGGTCCGGCTCGGTCTGGGAAAGAGACGGAGGACGGCTACCGGACTCTCGTCGGGGACGCCCGTCGTGAGGATGGAGGCCGCATTCCAAGGGGGCTTGCCTTCCTCTGTCTCTTGGTACGTTGGAGAAGTTCCTGGGCCGACGTGGATCGGGCGACGGATGCGAGACGCGACGAAGACGGGCGAGAAGCTTCGGACCGCGATGACGAACGCGATGAGGATGGTAGTGTAGGGGGCATTGGGAATGGGATCGGACATGGGATTGTTTCTTGGACTTTGAGCTCGTGGACTGTGCGCTTTTTTGTATGCTGGCTGCCGCTACAGGGACATGCTGGTCGTGTTCGTTCAGACTCCTTGGTCGCCCCGAAATGCTATCATCGTCGGGTCCGCCCTTCAGCTGTAACTCACTTGGTGCGAATTGTGAAATGAGTGCACATCATTGAGCCCCAGGTCAGGAATTCAAAACGTTCGAAAGTATGCATGCAAGTCTCGTCCGTACGGAATCATTCGGAAACCCGCTCTGATTACAATAAGATGCTAGTATGGACCCACATAACACTCGCCAGTGAAGACGATGCCAGGCACATCGGAAGAAGAATAGACCGTCCCTCGATTCACTGTTCACCTTTTACGAGTCGAGATCACATTCTCCCGGTCGCAGGACACACCACTTGGGCTGCAGAGCGATGGCACTCACGCCGCGGTCGACGAGGCGATACCGTAGCTCATTCAGGCGAGCAAGGGCGTTCCTGCCGCTCGTCGCGTTGGGCCCTGAAAAGAGTAAGCAAAGGGAAGACGAGTAAAGATAGTCAAATTCTGACCCAAGCGAGGTGACCCGTCAGGCAGTGTCGCGCCTGTCCAGAACACTTCTGCAGCTACAGCAAGCCGTGGCCAAATGATGGGATCGAGGTTCTCCGGAGAGGATTGCTCGCTCCAGATTGGCATCTGGCCTGCACATGCCCAACACAATGGCATCAACATCATTCTTCGGGCGGAACTACGTTCGTACCTCCGAGGACCAAGTGATGCTGATCTTCGGTGAGATTGGCCAACGGATCGAACGAGTACGCCTGAGAAACGTTATGAGCGGGATGGTTGCAAAGAATATGACCTCACATACCCTTTGCCATGTCTTGAATGGGTCACACCAGCTGTTCCTGCAGAAGCATGAGTGTACAGTAGGACCGATAGCGAGGGGACCTGCAGGCTTTACATACCCTAAGACGTCGTTCCCCAACCACTCGCCCGCACCGCAATCCTGCACCCGCATCGTAAGCCACATAACGAACAGCCCTCTTCGAGATGGCCCACTCACTAGGTAGAAATAGTTGGAAGGTTGGTGTATGAACCGAAGATTTCTTTCGGCCACTGACACAGCATCCTCTGATGTCTGCCAAACGCTAATCATGGACGTCAATGGCCTAAGTAGGGTGACTATATGCGCAACCTAACTCACACAACTACAGTGTCGTTGACAACGGGGACATTGTGGGTGAGCACCATGTCTAGATAGACGTGTGTCCTTAGACGTCTTAAGTACAACGTGTATATGAAGGACCCACTGACCGCTTTTGATGAATGGCGTCTTTCCGTGAGATGTTATCACCCCTTGCACAGCCTGTACGAAGTCGTTCAGAGCATCTGCGATCGTGATGTTCCGCTCTGCTAGATCTGTCTCTGTCTCCTCGTCTTCCTCCCAACAAGGGAGGTTGACTTCGTCTCCACCGGAACTCATCATCTTGCTCGGCAGCACGGACGCCACGGAGTCGAAGAGCGTCTTCGCAAACTCGACGGTTGCGGGGGAGGCGATCCGCAGCTGGCCGGCAGGCGGCTCTGACGCATAGCTTGCCCACGGAGATTTTGCCGCACAAGCGATGAGTTCGGGATGCGCTGCACCGATGGCGGTGGTATGCCCAGGCGAGTCGAGTTCCTACAGTACGGGCTTAGTGTCGACATTGGCGACTGAATGAATTGCCACACACCATCACGACGTCGACGCCACGCTGAATCAGACGTTCAGTAGGCATTCACTGCGTGAATGACACAAAACTTTACCTCGTTAGCATACTGAACGATAGTCCGGATATCGTTCTGGGAATAGATCTCCTCGGCGGAGTACGCTCCTTTCTCAGCGAGCTCAGGGTATGCCTCGACATGCAGAGGAAAACTTTGGCTGTCGATGACATGCCAATACAAAATGCTAAGCTGAGAAGAACTGATGTCAGAGCGCGCCATGTGCAGAGTCAGACTACAGACCTTGACCCATGACATCGCGTCGATAGTGCGCAGAATATCGGCGACAGGATAGCTGAATTGTCACTGGTCAGCGTCATGAATTTGCCTTCATATGATGACTCACAAGTTTCTGGAGGTGTCGAACGAGAACCCCCTGTAAGGCTGGTTTCAAGTTGTAAGTTCCCTACGGATAGGACAAAGAGCCTCCGCAACCTACGAATGCAGGCTGATCCACAATGTCTATCCCGCCGTCGAGCAAGTACTTCGTCCCATTAAGGTCATACCATAGCTGCTCGAAGGTCGCAAGTCCTCTGAACAGCCCAAGGGTTGAATTGGCTATAAGAATAGCTGATGGCCTATCACCCGTGATTGCTAGTGAATAAACTTCGCTCCTGGAAGTGATTGGCTGGTTCGTTTCATCGGCTATGCTCCGCACAAGAGAGCCGGGATGCAGAGCGAGGCTCAGCGAGGTAAGCGTACGAGCGGAGGAGATGGAGCTGATATCGGCAGAGCTTCTGCCTATAACAAGTCGCTGGAAGCGATCCGTAGTAATCCTGGACCGGGTACGCGAAACAGCTGCGACGAGATCAGCAGGCGGACTAGAGATGTCGATGTGAATGTCAAAAACTGAGGATAATTTGACGGCAGTAGCGCCCCTCGACAGGGAGCTGGGTATTGGCCACAACGCAGTTGTATATCTCGGCGCAGGAGAGAGGAGAAGTACCATTGCGAGCCAATTGCGCAGAATCATGGCAGCCGTCTGGTAGGCAAGGCGTTAGCCCTCGACGTTGGCGGGGTTTCTAGTACCAGTGCGTATGCCTGCATATTTGACGTGGTCGCCATATCTCGAGCCTGGCTATCGTCAGGGTCATGAGTTGCGAACATGAGGGGTTCTACGATTCAATGACCATATGGACTTATGAAAGCGAAGCCAAGAACTTGAAGAAGCAGGCGGAGCTCCGGTCCCTTGCCGGGTTGAAGAGGTGGTATTGCATGATTAAAACGTGTTTACAACGGTGAGATGGCCGAGCGGTCTAAGGCGCCAGACTAAGGAGGTGGGATTTAAATCCCCAAAAAATATCTGGTCCGAAAGGGCGTGGGTTCGAATCCCACTCTCATCACTTTTTCCCTTTCGGGAAAGTCATTACATCAGCAACCCGTTTCACTGGTCAAGTCGACACGTACGAGGATCAATGTCCCCCCCCCCTTTGAAGAGGACGTTTATAATGCCAAACATGACTGGCGAACTTCTGCTTCCTAGTAAGCGCATCTCTGACTTACCAGCATGCCACAGTCAACGTATTTAATCTTTCGGGAACAAGTTCTTCCTATTCATTAAGATATTTTCATTGCCTTGTGTCTGACCAGGTTCTGCTGCGAGGGCTGCCAAGCATGAGCTTCTATGTCTGAAGGACTACCTAAAAGAGCGACTTGCTGCGGATGCACGAAGAGCTTTTGACCAGGTCCCGGTGTCCTTCGGAGCAGAGAGGCCTGGCGTCTCAGTGGGTACGGTGCCAATGCAGGACGGCAAGCTTCCGGCAAGCAAGGGCCTCCCCCTTCCTCGTAATCAGACTGCAGCAGAGTTCTGAAATCATACACAAGACGAGGCAATCTGCCGTCTATATCTGATGGAGAACGGTCGTCGAATGCAGAGAACAAGCTCCCGGACAGACCTGGTATAACGATGGTCTCGTTTGGGAAAGATGACTCGTGGGAATAGACGAAGCGCGCGTGCGTTGTTGACGGAAACGGCAGCTCCCTTCACGACCTCCTCTTCCCCAGACCATCGAGAACAAGGCGACCGTGTCTGCACGTTGCCCACATGGTGCTATTCATATGTTTTCTGCGCAGTTGCCGAGTTATTCATCGCATTCCGTTTTCAGTTTAGCCTTAGTACTCGAGCGCGAGGCGCCCTTCTGGCACGCCCGACGACTTTGTCCACGACAAAGCCTCTGGCATTCCAGATAGACTGAGTGCTCACGCGCCACACGCTATAAGGCCATGCGGACACTCGTTGCTACTGCAACAAGTGTGCCCACTGCGCCTGTCTACTCGACGCGCTCACACAGGAGTTGCTCTTCGCTCCACAGCCCTCAAACTTTACTTCCGCAGTCTACTTAGGCTCGCGTCCGTTCATTGCATCTCCATAAGCTATTCGTATTATTGTTCTCCAACATCCCTACTTTCGCCGTCTTCCAAATTCTGATTTAACTGTACACACTATGTTCCTCTTCCGCGCCGTCTTCATCATCACGACTGTCTTCATGGCTTTTGTTGCCCAAGGTATGCTTCCCACTTGTGCATTGCAGTAGAGTGTTTGTGAGGCTGACCATAATATTCTAGTGAGCGCCATCCCACCTCTCACTCGGTTCATGTTGGATGCCGTCCCCGATGGGTCCGAGAGTGCCGCGGACTCCAACTCCAACGCTGTCGTGGCCCCGGGCGATCCCGGTGCAGACACGTCTGCATCTGTCGACCAGGATGTTCCGATTGCTGTCGAAAGCTCCCCTGTGCAAGAGGACACCGCAGTTGAATCCTCCGCTGTAGCCTTAGCCGCAGAGCCTAGCGCTGCAGACATTGCTGCGTCATCGGCTGTTTCCGTACCTGTACGTCAAGTTCGAACGGTCTGAATCGCTCAAATGCTGACAGATTCTCAGTCTGCTGTAGTCGGTGCCCAACTCGCTCAGGCGAATGCTGCTGGGCACCTTGGCGTACTCGGAAGCACCAGCGTCCTCGTCGGCTTCGTCGTCGCAGGCATCGTCCTCGCGATCTGAGCTGCATTCGCTCACTCCATCGATCGCTCGTAGATCATCTTCTCCTCCCGGACCCGCGTACGCTAGACGTATCGATACATCTCGCCTTTCCCCGGATCCTTGCCCCTCTTCTTCTCGCATTAGTATCAGTTGATCTACTACGCTTCGCGTCTCGCAGATCGGCCGACGTGCGCTTTACTTCTGAGATTACTACCTTACATGTTCTGCTTTGCTCTGTATTGCCTCCACGATATCCTTCCTCCTGGTTCCGCGCGTCGCCTTGTCGTATTGCTGTCTCCATAGCCTCCCTTGTACTCTGTCGTGTAGCATAGCTTATGTTCCCATGTCCAGTTGCTGTTCCCTAGGCCACTAGCTTGACTCGCTCTATCATTTGTTGCGCACAGAGCCAATCGTCAGCTCTATTACATCTGCAACAGTAACGGGTGCGTGGTCTTGCGCCCGTAGCGGCCCCGATAAGGACCTCGCGCCGAAGGCCCGGTGCTTCCGGGCTATCTAATCATATTCTCCCGCGGGCGGCTTATGAGAGGTGGCAGGGTTGGCGGAGACGGGCAACGTGGTTCCACGACTCCCACCACGGACCCGCCCCCCATGCACGCGTAAGATATCGTGCATGTCGTCGACTGCTATAGAACCTCCACAAGTCATAGCCCAATTCAGTGGGCATTGAAAGCTTCGTTGCCGCCATGCACGTCAGCCACAGCCATGCGAATCACCCTCCGCCTCTATACAGCTCGCCGCGGATCATCAGTTTCTTGACGTGTATACTAGTCGCACTTGCGTCAGGTACCAATTATGTAGGTTGCGCCAGACATCACACAACCATAGCGATTGCTAATCTATTTTCGTAGGTTTTCTCAGGTGCGCTCCGAGCGACTTTTCACTTCTGCCGTTCACCGAGATGGACCCGAGCATGACTCCTCACTCGATTGACTGGTCGATGCAAGACATCTCATCAAACAGGCATGCTCTTGATATCATGCACTCATACTATATGCAGGGGACACGTACCGTGATGCTAGGTTGCTGATGGCACTGCCAGTGCCGTAATCGAGCTCCGGTCGTTCCACTTCTTGATCATTGATGAGGTCGACTTCCTCGGTCCTTGCAACTCTTCTTCACTAACTTCTATTGAAAAAGTACTGAAGATGTGCACTTCTAGCTTATGGGCCACAATTGGGTGCTCGCTTGAAGCTCACCCATACTCAGATCAACATCGTGGGCTTGTCGGGGAACAGTATGCACACACAAGACTACCTACTCTACTTTATCTCATAACTCATTTGTCAGTCGGTGTCTACGGAACTGCTCCAATATGGGGCGGGATTGTGGACCGCAAGGGCCCCCGCATCATGATGGTGATAGCCTTCTTCGCGCTTCTTGCAGGGTACCTTGGGATCCGCCACTTCTACGACTCAGGCCGTCCTGACGGGGACACAATTTCGCTGGTATCCTTCTGGACCCTCGTCTTCTTTGGGTTTCTCACCGGGATCGGCGGCAATGGCGGCCTCGTCGGCGCGATGAACGCCACTGCGAAAAGCTGGCCGGACAGTAGAGTGAGAGTCTCTCCCCTACGCCTCCGAACTTCGCTGACATCACATGTATTCAAGCGAGCTACAGCTAATGGGATTGTCATTTCTGGCTTCGGCCTGTCTGCATTCCTTTTCTCGACTATCGCACATACCCTCTTCCCCGGAAACACCTCCGAATTCCTCCTCGTCCTCGCTGTTGGCACCGCTCTTCCTATGATCCTCGGCTTCTTCATTGTCCGCCCCATACCTCCGCCGCATATCGACCCTACTACACGGCTCGAGCACGCAATTGACGGAGACGAAGACGCAGATGGGTACGGTACCAGCGAGGGCCTTGGGACTGGCTCCCCAACTACTTACTCTCTTGCGAATGATAGCCATACGCATTTGCTCTCACGTGACGCGGATGACGGCGAACAGGGCAGGTCGAGGATGGAGGTCGAGGAAGAAGAGGAGCCACTCGTACCGCCCTTGCACCATACGCAAGTGACCTCCGACTATGTCGTGGAGACAGCTTCAGACGCACTCATGCTCAGTCCGACTCGAGAGGGGTTCACCCGCCATCGCGCTACCAGTGCGCGGTCGTTGTCCCGGAGGAGCGTGAGGAGCGCGCTGGACGAAGGGTTGGAAGGGACGCCGAACATTCATGGTAGGAGACTGTTTGCGACTGCGAACTTCTGGATGCTGTTCACCGTTGCGTCGCTGTGTAAGCGTGCCATTTCCTGCTACTTTGCCGACGACTCACCACTATTACTTGCTTCCCATATTGCAGTGAGTGGAACAGGGTTGATGTGTAGGCGTCCCGTCCAGCTCGCGTATGCAAGATGGCTAACAGGCGTACCACAGACATCAACAACGTCGGTGCGATCTCGCAAGCACTCTTCTCCCACAATAACCCCGAATACGACGATGTGAAGGCGGCACAATGGCAAGCAACTCAAGTGTCTACCATCAGCGTCATGAACTGTCTTGGCCGCATAAGTATTGGTGAGCGACGGCTTGCATGGTACTTCACTCCCGTGAACTGATTGGAAGACTAGGTATCATCGCCGACTTTACCAAGGCTAAGCTTCGCCTCCCTCGCTCGTTCTGCATTGTCCTCGTCGCAGCGATGTTTGTCATCTCGCAAGTGACCTGTTACTCCATCTTGGACATCGGGAACCTGTGGAAGGCGAGCGCGCTTCTCGGACTCGCATATGGCGGGCTGTTCGGTCTCTTCCCCACTCTCACAATTGAGTGGTTCGGTCTCCGTACGTCTTCGTTCCAGGTGCGTCTGTGTGCTCTGCTCACTGTGTGAGAACGTCTCCCAGAACACTTCTCCGAGAACTGGGGTTTCGTCTCCCTTTCGCCCATGATCGGCGGCAATGTCTTCTCCATCGCCTTCGGGCGCAACCTCGACGCGCACAGCGACGATGACCCCGCTACGAACAGCACTGCTTCCTCTCTCGCCTCTCTCACCTCCTTCCTGGCGCCTCCGTCGACTCCCTCTCCCCTCGTTGCACTCAACACGACGTCGGTGTTGCCGATCAATGCGCGCGGAGGGATCCCCGACCCGCATCACTGCATCATCGGACGCGAGTGCTACGCTGACAGTCTCAAGATGACGATCGTCGCGTGCTGTCTCGCGCTCGCGCTCGGGGTCTACGCAAGCTGGAGCGACTACAAGCGGCACAAGCGCTGGGCGAGTCGTGCGGAGGCCGGACCAGCAGTCGTCATATGGGAGAGCGAAGAGTGAAGATAAGCCAGAAGTCAGCGGATAGCGCGGTAGATTGGTTAGTCTGGGCCTTGGGTAATAGATAATCTGATCGCACATAGGCATGTATTTATTGAGTGGAAGGTTCGCAGGAGGGTGAGCACCGCGAGTGGCCTTATGGGACTTGTCGGACTGATGACTTCCGTTTAGAGAAATGCAGTGCGTGCAGTTGCGACTGATACCGCAGCAAGGACAGTCCCGAGAAGCACCATTATCCTCGAGCCGAAGTGCGCTCGGACGAGTGCAAGTAATTTAGGTTGTGAAGGTCGGATCTATGAAGGACACGCAGAAGGCATCGACGAGGGCTCGTCTTTATCGTGTGATCGCACGAGTTTCGGGTACCTCCACTGGCTTACGGAGTTAGAGGTGGAGTTAGAGGTGATCTACTCGCTTGGTGCGTATCCGTAAATCATGTTCGTGGTGCCTTAGGCGTTGAACACGATGGTCTGTGACATGTGCGCAAGTCCGATGCCACAGATTTGGCGGAAAACCGGGGATAGGCAGTTCAATGCGAAGCTATCGCGGATTTTGCATAGATGCGGGCATGCGAGGCTGTTTGTCGTGCCCGGCCTGGGCCCCTCGACGTTTGTCAGCTTAAACTTCACCCCTCATATTCCCTCACGATGCTCCATGGTACCTCATAGCAGTTGTCACCCGACGCTCCCTACTAAGGAGTTCGGACACCGCATGACTTAGGCGGCGCGCCTATGAGGTGTCTCGACACTCCGTAAATACTTGCCTTCATGCGCACCCCCTTACGATAACGCCACGCTCCTTTGCCATGATACCGCTATCTTACTTCGTTCTCTTGTGCGCGCTCTCAATTATTTTGAAGCGCGTCTTCGTCAGAAATGACAAACGACGGACTGACATTCCCGGTCCGCCCTCTCTAGGGCCGTATGCGGCCAGGCTAGGCCCAAAGGTACCACAATGGACTCTATTCGAGTCCGTCCAGAAAGATTATGGTGAGTTTTGCTTTGATCTTTGCAATGCATCCCGGACACCATCTAGTAGGCAGTCTCACCATATCACGCAGGTCCGATGTTCTCGTTAATGAGGGGTGCTACTCCGGTCATCGGTGAGAGGCCAAATTGTCGCGTCGCACGGTTTCTTTGTGGCGACTAACGACTGTAGCACGAAGTAATCAACAAAGCGCAGATTGCTTGGGACCTACTGCAGAAACGTGGCGAGATCTACTCGAGTAGACCGCGTCTCATCATCGCGCACGAGCTGTTGTCTCGGGGGCTACGCGGCCTGACCATGCCCTATACTAAGCAGTGGCGGACATGGAGAAAGGTCAGCCAACTGAGGTGCTACAGTGCCCCAGCAGTCCTGTTCATATTGTGACAGATTCAGAACACGGGCTTGAACGTACGGGCGGCGCTCGCATACCGGGAGCACCAAACACTCGAGGCGACTATCGCTCTACGAAACTTTCTCCGAGCCCCGGAACAGTACAGTCATCACATCACTTTGTGAGCTATTGTCTCCGACTTGGGTAGGCATCAGATTCACTGAAGATTATACACTCCAGATTCGCAACGTCCGTGGCATTCTCTATCGCTTACGGACAACGCACTGCGACATTGGAGGATGAGAAGTACAGGAGGAATGGAGAAGCTGTGAAAGGTGCGTACGACTCGGAGGCTTTTAATTCTATATCCATCAAACAGGCTCATGTAAGTCATGGATTTCCAGGAAGCTAAGTAAGCTTTCTGCTGTCAAAGCGGCCGGATATGCCCCTAGTGATGTGTAATATTTAACAGTGTTGCCACAAGCCCTGTTTTGACTGTATGTTCACTTGGTTCAGGCGTACCACATTCGCTGATATGACGTCCGAGGCTCTTTTACAGTACCCGTGGCTGATGTATCTTCCGGTACATCGTCTCTGTGTCGGTCCTCCCTTTTGCTCACATAGCTGCAGCGTTTCATGCAATGGTTTAGGTTCAGATGGGACGAGGGATACGGCAAGGCCGAGATGCTGTACATGGAGCTTCTCAAAGATGTCGAGGATCGCTTGAAGACGGGAATCGCGAAGGAGTGCATGGCCACGCGTAGCCTGCGGGATCAGGAGGCACTCGGGATCAGTGACGTTCAACTGGCCTTTGCCATGGCTGCGCCGTTCGCTGCTGGGATTGATACAGCAAGTCGCCACCAGCCTTCGCACACTGTAAGTCGTCGTTGCTATGAGCCCCGCGTCTCTAGACCTTGTGTACTATCGAGGTCGGTCTGTGTGAGTGCCTCTCGTGTCTATCGATAGTAAGTCGGTTCTTATGGTCTACACTTGCTTCCAGGCGCAATACTCCACAATCAAAATGCACAATGAGAGGGGTTCACGAGGAACTTGACCGCGTCGTTGGTCGGAATCGTCTCCCTAACTTTGATGATCAAGCATCCCTCCCATGTTTGGACACATTCGTCAAAGAGCTGAATCGTTGGCAAACCATTACTCCGAGAGGTGTTCCTCACGCCCTCGCCGCCGACGATGTCTACCAAGGACATTTTATCCCAAAAGGCACGACGATCATTGTGCCGAATGTCTAGTGAGTGTACCTCCTTGTTCTCGCAGCCAAGATGAGTTCCAACACAAAAAGTAATGCACAGTACAATGATGAAGGACGAGGAAACGTTTCCGGATGCGATGCGATTCAGTCCGGAGGGATTTCTCAAGACTGACGATCCGAGGATGCTCGACTTTACGCTGTCATTCGGCTTCGGAAGACGCATCTGCCCTGGGATGCACGTCGCGTTGCAATCATTGTACTTCTTTTTTCGCCAGGTGGGTGTCGTTAGGCTATGCATTCCTATACACATGCTACTTGGGTTAACCTCTAGCGATGGTGGCGTCCGCGCAGGTTCATGTGGGCGTTTACCGTCAAACCCGCGCAGGACGAAACCGGAGCTACTGTCCTACCGGACATGAATAATCAAGTGGTCTCCGGCTTAACACGCAAACCTGCTCCATTCAAGTGCGTGATACAGCCTCGCTTCCCGGACGTTGCGGGCATGATTCACAAGGAGGCGGCGGAGGCGGATGAGACACTCAAAGCATGGGATTGATATTTGTGGCAGGGGCACGAACCAACCCATCGTGCTTGATACCACCCATATGCTCCGAACATCGTGATGTACCTTGCAGTAAAGTTTATGTATCCTTCACGCGCGCAAAACAGTGTGAAGGATTCCCATTCGGGACTTGAACGTTCAACGATGGCAGCGCCTACGATGTACGCGCCACTAGGGTCTCATATCTAGCCTCATCATGTAACCACTCATATACACTCGGCTGCTGGTCTGATTTGCGACAGTGGCAGGTCTAGACATCACCTAAGCGTACCAAACGACGATGTGCACTTTTGTCTCTGAAAAGCAGGCCCATCCAAGCCCGGATCAGTTGTCGCCGAAGAAGGATACATGAGAAGCACATATTTGGCGAAGCAAACCGCACACACCAACCGTAAACTGTATTAGGCAGGCATGACGAGCCGACAACGCGCAATTCACGATGCCCGAGAACGCCATGAAAGCTCAGGAAAGCCCACGGCGCAGGTACATCGGTCACATGGGCTCATAGGGACGAATGGTCGATCGCATCCTTAGACAGGCCAGCCAGCGCGATTCGACGGGCGGTATGGTGTTCACGCGCGTCCAGAAGTACTCGTCAAAATATGATATAATCTACTTCACATGGTCAAATACAAACTCAGTCAACGCGGCGTACTTGCATCGGGACGTTCGCGCCCTTCTGGCCAACGACACGCGGACGCGGTAAGACACCGCGACAGAACTCGATCTTTGTCTCGGGTCCATCCGGGAGCTCGAAGCGGTAGTTCTTGATCAGAACTCCAAGGACGGCCTATGCGGACGAGCGAAAAGTGGTCAGGGCGTAACGACAAGTAAGACGCAGTGGAGATGAGATCGGGAAGCGACAAAATGGGGGTAGCATGGTCGTCTCTGGAGATGGAATGACGCACCTTGAACTCAGCGAGTGCAAAACCCCTTCCGAGACAAATACGATGTCCGTCGACGAATGTGAGCAGATGGCGATGTCCCTGGACCTCCTGAGCTTTCTTCGGGAGACCATCCTTCTGGAGCCAGCGCTCCGGCCGGAACTCGTGGGCGTCGGGACCCCAGTATGCGACAGCGGTGTTCATGCAGCCGATGGGGACGATCACCCCTTGACCCGCAGTGACAGCGACACGGTCAACCAGCTCGCCAGTTGGAATCCGAAGGGGAGCAGAGAGCGGAATGATATCATCCTTGGCCGCCTGTAAGATAGGCATGGTCAGTAGGGACGGAGATGCGTAACAAGCTGGAATCGGCCATACGACGCGGCTGGTGATATTGAGGGGAGCGTGAAGACGCAGAATCTCGTGGACAACGGCGTCGAGGTAGTGCAGACCAGCACCGTTCGTAAGCTGCTCCCAGGTCGGGTCGGAGTTCGGGAACTCCGCCCGCAGTTCCTCGCGGAGACGTTCTTGCATCTCTGGCTTGCGAGAAAGTTCAATCAGAGCCCACTGACATGATGAGAATGAGTGACTCTAATCACAGAGACCAATTCGATACGACACTCACCGTAAGACTAACTGAAGTCCGAGACGGTCGACAACATTCAGGTTACAACACAGTTCAGCTAAGAATAGGACTAACGCACTCGATGTTGTCTCGTATCCTGCTAGGATTAACACTTTCATCTGTGGGGAAGGTCAGAGACCGTTATGTTGCGGGATCCAATGCTAAGCCCGACCTGTGCCAAGATCTCCTCCTGGGACATCTGCAGGCTCGAATTGGCATCTTCGGCCTTGACTGCGGTACTCCATTTAGCCGAGCATTCACGCCAGGAATATGGTCATGCAAGGATAACGCACTCAACAAGCCAATAATACTCCTCTCCTCTTTGCCTTTCGCCCCCAATCCCTTCATCTCCCTTCGAGTGTTCTCAAGAAGGGGAATCGCAATGTCCTCCATAGCCTTGTTGAGCTTGAGCTGCAGTCTGCGTGTGTCGGTAGGAAGACGCCAGAGGAAGGGTAAGAAGTTGCCAAAGAGGAGCGCCGCTGCGGTGACTACGCTAGGCTTGATGTGACCCATCGCGTCAAATACTTCAGCAACCGCAGATGGTCTGCCTTCAAGGGAGCCGAAATCATGCGAGAATCCGGCAATACCAATGCTGTCCAGACTAGAAGAAGAGGTTTCGTAGCCATATTGGGTAAGGAGACGTGGGTACTTACGAGACGTGGTTCATCCTGAACGGATATGGTATTGATCACTTAGCCTCTGCAGGCACACCGTCACTAGCGAGACACGCACCATTTCTGCACGTCTATCATAACGGACTCAGAGGAATCCAACTGGTTGTCCCAATTGGTCTTGAGCTGCGTGCGACGATGTTAAGCGATCTTTGGAGACCGCAACGCGAACGGGCGGACCTTGTACACCGAGTCGTAGAAGACCGAAGTTAACCTGCGAATCGCGACATTGCTGAATGCAGGGGAGATGGCCTTGCGCTGTCTTCATGCATATTCGATACAGATGTTCGACTGTACGAAAGACAGGCGTACATACCTCTTATGGGATTCTCCCTCCGCCCACAACAGCCCACGCCCAAACTTTGCCATGACAGAGTTATGAATGTTAATCCTACTAGAGCAGCGGAACGGTCGTGTGAATGCAACGTACCAGACCCTCGATCGCGACCCTGGACAGCTTGGTTTGGACATACGTCCAAGTTTCCTCCGAGTAGAAGTGCGCGATTGCCTTTGGGTCAGTGAGGACAACTTGTGTAGATCCAAGCGGTGCCGGGATGCGGTAAACTGATCCAAACTCCTCGCCCCATCTCTCGTATATAGCGGGAGCCTCGGGGCTATTGGAAACAAGGTGGCGGACGCCAAAGAGCCAACTTGGACTGGGTGGACCGGCCAGGGGAGTAGCGCGGGCGACCTTGCGACGCGTCTGGATGTAGCTGTACGCGAAACAGACTGCGGCGAGAACAGCAGCCGCCTGCCAGAGCGGCAGAGGCCCTACAACATCACTGAGGACGACCATGTTGTGAGACGAGGAGTGGGAGTCGTTATCACGGAAGCCAGCATTTAAAACACAGCAAGATAGCGGAGAAAAGAGGCAGACAGTGTGGGAAACGCAGTCAGGACACCTGAGAACATATGCCAGAGACAGAGAACATGTGAGGACGGATGGGAATGTAGGCCCCACTAGTAGCGCCTGACGGCAGAGTACGTGTGTCTATTACGATGAACGGTCAGTTAGCTCTTCGAGGCCGAGAAAAATCCATGGGATGAGATCAGGAGGGTCCTTGATGATCATCTGCAGACAATATGGTGAATGTCTAGAGTAGGAGACATGGGAGTTGCAAGACAATCGGGGGACTCGGCGTCTGACGTAACATTGATGAGACTATTGATACCGTCCAGTGAGCTTTGGGCAGTTCTTTACTTCTGGGTGTCGGAATGTATGGAACACGATGGCTAACAAGCTCATGCCACGGCGCACCGGAAACATTTAGAAGTAGTGTTGCAGACTAGAAGTTCTGGTTCGTATGTCCTGGGTGAGGAAGTTGCAAGACGCCTCGCTGCCAGTGATGCCCAATGGTCACATTCAATCGGTTCGAGTCATTTTTAGACGGCAGTAACAGCGTGAGATGGGATCACCTCGAGACCACAACAGAATGTTTGGCCTTCGTTCCTTGCGTTTGTCCGGTTGGGTCTACAGGTCTAGGCCTGAAGTACAGCCTATCGCGGTGGCCGCACCCTCGCTGTTCATCGCTACTGGTCAGCCAAACGGAGAGATAGAATCAGCGCATACATCGCATCGCATGCTCCGCACGACCATCGAGGACCAAAAGGAAGTTGCTGACTGCAAGACTATGAGCGCGGGGCACGAGCCGAGCTACAGATATGGCGGCATGACTTGTGGTTGAACTCAGCTCATTCAACTATGTAGCGCGAGACGGACATAGCCTTGGTCACACTCCATGCCAACACCTGTACCTTTGCTGACGCAACACTGAAAGGAGTCGGCGTCTGCACACGCAAGAATGATGGTGCTGGTATGTCACAATCGGTTAATGCGGATGTAGTGCTGGCAAGATGGTATTCGGCACTCAGTTACGTCTGATAAGAGACGAGGAACTGCATCTGACAACCATCTCTAGACAATCAATAGTTAGCAGAATGCGTCGCTGAGACATGCTGAAAGTCGCATTCCGAGCTAAATGGCGGGCGCAGCATTCTGAGGCGACAAACTTGCACGACCCCGCACCGTTTGAATGTCATACCAGTCTAGACCCCCAGTGGCATCAGCTATCATTATAAGCCTTTGAGCAGTTCAGGTTTGAGCCGAGGTCAGAACAATCACTGTTGCAGAAGACGAAGGTGATGATCGTAGGGTCAAAAGACTCAACGCGCAAAACGCCTTTGGCCTGAGGCTACTGTTGATGGATCGAGCGCGGGCATATGATAGCCGCAAACAAACGCGTTGCGTCGCATAAGTTACAAGCAATGCATGCGTTAATGGCGAGCTACGTGAATGTGCTTTGCCTTCAGGGCAATAACCACCCCTTTGTCTTACTATAGGCTATGTCCGCACGTCTGAGAGACAAACATGTTTACGCCGCAACTCTTGAAAATCGATTATAAGAGGGCCACCTCATCACTAAAATCGCAAGCACTCAAGTCCTCCTCGATTCACTCGACATGCCTCCTGAAACCCTGATTCGCTCACCTCATGCCAATCCTTGCGTCCGCCACACATGTTTTGGGAGGTAAGTGGTCCATATTGCGCTGACAGATCAAGTTGAAAGCGCGCGTATATTGACATTGACCTCAAATTATTAGCCAGCCCTCGTATCGGGCTATGTCCCGAGCGGCAGAGAAAGCCAATTGCTCTCTGCCTCCAGGTCCAGCTTGTACGATAGGCTAGTTCGTCTCCTTCGAGCGGTCATACCCGCGCTGCGCGCGTCGATAGCTGGATCATCCGGAAGGTGTTACACTATCTATGGGCTTGCTCTGGCAGAAGGCGGTGCCTTCCGTGATGCCAACCCTGGTGGATACGGACTACCATCCGTCGCAGAGGGCCGGGGCGGATGCTGCAACGCGCCGTAGTTGAGCTCATCCTCTTCTCGAGCAGCCTCCTGTCCACAAAATCGCTCTTCATACGCAGCTTTCCACCCCTTCTTCTTTTCTTGCAATCGTCATGGACGCGTTCAACTTTGGCTTCGAACAGAGGTAGACAACAGTTTGTCAGACTGTGATGTGACTCTCACAACTAACCCAGGGGCCACTTCGCGTCCTAGGAGCGGTTGGGCTCGAGCTGCCGCATGCGCGCAGCGCGGGCCAACTTCACCTTCTTCTGGGCCCACGAGTGTGCAGCAAAGTCGGAAGCGGTCCTGGTAAGGGATGGAGAAGATGGCTGCACGCCCAGCAGCCTGGACGTCCCGGGCGACGCAACAGTCCCAGCGACCGACAACAAGCGCTCCGGAGCCCGGAGTGCCGCCCGTGTGCGCAGAATCGGCGCGCCGGACCATCCTCATTCGCCGCGACGTCCTCACCAAGCGCGTAGCAGACGAGGACGCCCGCGCGTTCGTCAATCTACTCTGGTGGTTGACAGGCCGGTGCTGGGCCAATCGGTCCATCAGTTCATGCTCCGTGGATCCGGACAGAACTGCCGTCGTCCGCCCGCGCTGCGCGGCGGGACCAAGGGGGGTGGTGTCGATCGCCGCTGCTCGGTGTGTCCACGGGGGTGCATTTGACACGTTGGTAACGGACGCACGAAAGGGAGGAAAGGGCGCGCTGCTTACCGCGATGACACCGCTCAGCCTCGCAGCGCAGTCGGGGACGCGGACGAAGACGAGCGAGGCGGCGGCCCACGACGGAGGATCCGAATACGCCGAGGCAGCGCGGGACGGATTTTCACCCTCCGCACAGCCGCTCGACTCCAGAATGGCAGTAGAGCCGGACCGTAGCCGTACACTAGACCGGCACCTGAAGAGGCAGAGCACGAAGACTTCATCGAGTTCTTTACGTTCAACAAACAATACTACTACAAGAAACCGCTGGGCGAGAACGAGTACTACGTTCACTGCGTCGACTGGCACAACGATCCTCCGACCTGGGACAACGAGCCGATACCGCCTATGACCATCCACGAGCTCTTGCCCTATCTCCAGGGAAACACGGCATTGCTCAGTCAACCAAGCGCAAGTTGAGCGGCTGCACGGAATCGAGCAAGGGCAAGGGGTGGCTCAAGAACCACCTTCTATCGTACTCTCACTTCAAGTTGCGTCGCAAATGCCACATCTGTTCGTATGCGGAGTGTAGGATGAGCGATCGCTACGTCACCACCTAAAAGAGTCCGCCGGGAACTTGCCTTCTGTAGCCCACCACATCATTCCACCGTGCCCGCGCCGATCGCACTCTGAGAGTAATCGTCAGTGCTTGGTGCGATGCCGATGCACGGCAGCGTGTATGGCTATGATGAGGCTCTTCCGTACATGCAACCTATCTCCGGCCATCCGTTCACAGTCCCGCAAGTCGCAGACGAACAAGTGGCTGCTTTTGACGCCATGTTCCGAGATGCATTTCCAGGACCCACCTTGCCGTATGGCGGCCGCGAGGACAGAGGCGTCGTTAGCTGCTCGTCTTCATCTTCGTTGAGCGAGGGCAAGCGGACAAACGGGATGCTCACACGTAGGTGCCCCATGCTGTCGAGCGGCTCGAGCCAGGTGCGTACTCCACTATTGTTGATTAATAGGATTGCAATTGACGTGCTCGCGGTCTATGCAAGTGGGACACCGAGGAGTCTACCACACAGTCCGAGGAGGGAAAGCTTCTCGTTCAGAGTGACCGAGAGGTTTACCCATTCGATGCGGACCTCCTCGCTGATCGCCGCTCAAGAAGCCTTGTTGGGTTGATATATGACACCCGCTGATCTTGAGAAGGATGATTCGGAAGGAATCCTGACTCCCTTGAAGACGAGCAGGTAGTGAAGGACCTTCCGAAAGCAGATGAACGGGGTTTGGAGGAGCGGTCTGATGTGCTTTGGGCGAATTGAGCAGGTAATTGATGAGGCGGCATCTATCACCTTGAGATAGTGAGTCGGGAGCTTCAGCGTTAGCCCTTCTCCCTCTTTCACGGACGTTGGCGGCGCGAAGGCTATGCGTCCATGGCAACTCCCCACGACTCAACATCTCAGGTAGCTGATCGTGATACCACCCCGAGGGTGATAACGGAGAAAGCTTGGTCCCTGGCGCGCAAGTAAGTCGATAATCGGGATTCAGATAGTGCAATCCCGGCAGGAACCGAGACGAAGGCCGACGATCGCTTGGGCTGGGGAGGCAGGTACAGGGGCTCGAGATGTGAACCAACGCGTGTTGGCGGTTTTGCCTTGCGGTGGAGCGGAAGGATAAGCTAGAGACCTATGACGGCAGTAAACTTCAGACTAGCACATTGTAGGTAGTTCAAGATAAAATAGGCTACTTACGGTACCATGTTCTGCGATGTACTAGTTGGGATAGTGCACTAACTCTCGACGCCGTGACCGCTGGGAGAATCGACGACCTATCAGATGTTCTCGTCGCAAGAGGAGAGGGATAGTGGAAGATACGAACGAAATACAGAGGAGGATGTGGAGGCTTTGTTGCCCCCGGACAATGTGCATAGGCCCGTGAGGTGAGAGCTTGCGAGCACCAAAGCTTGAGGTACGGCGACCCTCGTATTTGATCACGAAGTTAGTTCCTAAGTTTGCGGAAGATGCCGTGTCACAGAGCGGTATAGGAACAAGGCCATGCATCCGGAGACACGTCCAGACGCCAAAAGGAGACAATTTCTATGATCCAAGCTGCGCAAAGTCGCGGGATCTTTCTTTCGTGCGGACTCACGTTTAGCGGGTACCATGACCGGCCCAGCGTTGGTAGGCGAAAAAGGATGTGTCACGACAGGCACTGACCTGAGAATGGTGGATGGATTTCAGCATCAAGACAATCGACGGATTCCCTTCTGAACATACGTTGTGCAAAATACGTCCACTACTACGACATGGCTTCGACAGAAACAGAGGACCTCCGAAGCGCTGACGCGTCAAACGCACAGAGGGAGACGGTCAGTCATCTGACGTACGTAATCCCTGTAATAAGCGCGCCCGTGGTTCCCCTGGCGGCGGAGACTTCCCCAGGGCGGGCAGGCAGGGAGCAGCATGCACGTATGTGCATACTGTACTTAGTACATAACCTGTGAGCTTGTTGCCCACCTATGCTTTGAAAGCCGTCTCTCTGCCCTTCAAAGCCCCCTGTAAGACACAGATACAGACCTGCGCCGACCTGGCATACTGCAAGGCAAGCTAATTTATCAACGCATACTTCATAGATGAAAGCAGTACGAGCATACAAAAAACAAGAGGCATCGTGTGTGATACAGTACAATTGAGAGCAACATTCGCGACGCTTTAGTACGCGCGCAACGCATACTTAGCGTCACTACTCATTCGCCTAGTCATCCTCGGACTCGAATTCGGACTCCATCCGCTGGTCGTGGTCCGCGCCTTGGTCTCCCTCCAACTGGTCTTCATCAGAATTGTCGTCCTCCAACTGGTCAATCTCTTCATCCTCATCCACGGAACCCTCCTCGCCGGACACGAACCCGCCCGAGCCAGACGCGCCCTCGTCCTCCATGAGCTCATCTTCCTCCACAGGCTGCGCCTCGCCCGCGCCCGTCGTCGCCTTTCCCTTGTTCGTCGCCGTCTTTGTCGCCGTCGCCGGGTCGTTCTCGCGCTCAGGGCACCCCCGCTTGTGCGTGGCCTTGCGCCGGTTATCCGCGCGCTTCCTGACACCGCACAGCTTGCACACGAGCTTCAGCCCGAGGTGCACCGTCTCCACGTGCCGCTTCAGCATCTTGTAGTCCGGGTTTTCCGGGTTCTGCGGCTTGCACCCCTGCCAGTGGCAGAACCCCGCGCTTTTCAGGTCGAAGATCTTCTTCAGGTGGTCGTACACTCGGTCCGAGGGCACGTCGTCCGGGATGTTGTAGTTGCCCCAGTTCCGCGGCCGCTCCTCCTCCCAGATCGGGTTCCAACCCTCGGGCGGCCACTCCTCGTGCTTCTTCCGGTTGTACCGCTTCGCGCGCTGCTTGCGCCCCGGGATACGTCCCTTGCCGCGCCCACGCTTCGTTCCTGCCCCTCCTGCTCCTACTGTTCCTGCTCCTGTTTCTCCTGCTCCTTCGCCTGTCGCGCCGTCGAGGTCCTCGACGCGCGTCGAGGACGAGGACGCCTGCGCGTTCCGCTGACCCGTGCGGTTGTATAAGCCCCCGGGGCGGTTCCCGCCCGCCATGCTGTTTAACATGTTGTTTTCGAGCGTGCGCCGGCCGTCCGCCCCGGGCGGGAGGATCTTGAACGTCTGCTGGCGAGGGACCCCATGCGCGTTCAGCGCGGAGATGAATAACGGCTCCATGGGGTAGTCGACCTTCGGCGCGTATGCGTTTGGCGACGCGCTGGGAGCATTCGGCGGGCGAGGTATAGCCGGAGGCGACGCGTTGGACGGCATAGGGTCCATGGAGGCCCGAGGCGGGAACTGTGGGCGTGGAGAAGATGCAGACGGGGGGACAGGAGGAGAAGCGGCGTTGGAAGGCGGAGGTAGCATGATGGGCAACTGAGGAATGTGCTGGGGTGCCGTTATAGGAGGAGGTATGTCGGTGGCTGGCGGCATCGTCTCCGCGATGCGCTTGCGGAACTGCCCAGTGATGCTTGGGATGTGCTTGAGCGACGTCTTCGTGATACGCGCACAAACCGCACACGGTGGCCACGTGTGGCACGGCACGTACGCCACAGGTGGGACACTGTCCTGCAAAGTCGTTTCCTGTGAGCGTGCCTCAGCCGTACGTGCATCACCCTCACGCCGCCTTCTGTCTCCCGAAGAGCGCCCGTTCCTGCAGCACCATCAGCAACGCTGAGGACAAAGGACAAAGAACAACATATGGCCCACCCGACGCTGTCAACATCCATCTTATCGGCCTCGCGCGACCTACCGCCAGAAGAGGAGCTATTGGGCACCGGCGTCTGGTTTGGCGACCCCACGGGTGTTGTAGCCGGCGACTCCGTGCCGACATTGCGGGCACGTCGCAGAAGCCGACTAGGAACCGAGTTAACCTCAAGTACCTCGTCCGCGCCACACTGCACGCACCTTGCGTGGCGAGGGTCCTCATCTTCAGACATCGCCGAAGCCCGGTCATCAGTGTCGCTCGCCGGGCCGTCGGAGTGGACGTCCCGCCGACGAGCCACCCGTCCCCGGGTAGCCGCCACGACCCGTTGACGACTTTCCCTGGTAGTGGCGTTCAGTAGCCATCCTCTGCGTTTAGAAAGTAAGCCGTGCTTCATACTTACGGGGACAAGAGCTGTCGCATCACGTCGGCGTCGTCAGAGTCCGAAGACGACCGGTTCCGTCTCGGGCCTGCCGCAGCGTGGCCTTTGTCCGGATCTTTGACTCCATTGCGCACCCCTTCATCGTGTTTGGAGCGGGATACGCCCTTTCCATCACGCATGGTGAGTTTGGGGTAGGTGAGTGAAGCACGGAGGGAGAGCCGCCTTGGTGGTTAAGCGGTCTCGTCTATATACCCTGTCGCTCCCGGATCACCCCGATGGGCTGATGGAAACGGGAACTGCCAAAAGGCCTTCTAAGTTTCAAAGTAAGATGATAGAAGGCCGGTAGGAGAACGGAATGCCCCTTACACGTTGCCAGCGCAAAACACAAAGCAGCCGCACCTGCCGGGCGTCTGCGGTGGTTATCGATGTGTCACGCGCTACTGTGGCAATCAACGCAAGTAAGAACTCTAAGCTACCTGCAACAGATGATGCACGTCAAAAAGACGATGCTCCAAGGGCACAGAGGAAGGGGCGGGAGATACGAACAACCCAGTGGTGTTGGTTTGTTGCAAAGCTCATTGTGGTCACGTTGGGCCTAAGTACGTTCCCATAAAAGGCAAGTGTGGTAACAACCCTCGCCGATGCAACGAGGCATCGGAGATGGAACTTTTTGCACGGCCATCACTGATGATCACGCGATGTGAGAAGGCGGGGTTAACGACTGCCTGCACGTTTGTGGCTCAAGACAAAGCCCTGAGCCATCCTCAAACAGCGTTTGTGGTCCTTTCTGAGTGCTTCCGATCCTATGACACCATCATCCAAGGAGAGTGTATGATACTGGTACAGGGAAGACGGAGCTAGTGAGGCTCATATCAGAGCCGACGGCGTATGATTGGCTTGACGGCGTCTGGTGAAATATAGCCACAAACGTCCAACCTGCACCCCAACCACCTGTGCGCTCGTTCGTCATCACCGCGTTCTCGAACATGATCGTCCCCGTCCCCGCCCTGGATGCAGCGGCGCTAAGGTCCCCTCTATCTCAGCGGCGATATTCCCAGCGCTACCGTCAGTGCCGCAGCGGAGCTCCGCGCTGCAGTCTTGGCCTTCTCCTTCGTTGCTGCTTCGTTGAGAGCACGATGGTCGCCGCGGGAAGAGGTGCTGCTGTTGCTGCGGAAGATGCCTGCGGAACCACCATCTTGTCGAAGGTGTCGTTCTCATCGTGACTTCGATCGCAACAGGCGCTAATCAGATATTTCCGAACCACCTTGCCGGCCTGTGCGGGCCGTCAGGCTGCTGCAGCGTCTTTGTCCTGGCAGACGTGCTTGGTGCGGTGCTTGCCCCACAACTTACCGTAGTCCCCGTCCTGAGTGTACGACCACATCACGAGTCGGGATCTTGGTCGGATGACTTGTCGAGAGAAACGTCTGGACGTACACGACCTGTTCAGCTGTCATAAACCTTGGGCCTAGGGTTCTCTCGGACTGCGGGTCCATGTGCGAAAGACTCCTGGCATTGGGTGCACTGCGGGAGTCTGTTAGACACAAAGACCATCGATGAGTCATGAGCGAGGTATCGAGTAGAGTTCGTTGAGGTAATTGGTCCCGGTTACGTTAGAAAGATTCGGCTGCAGGGGGATGCCGCGCGTTCCTCTCAACATCACGCGGTGTCACCCTGAGTTACTCAGAATGCTAGTGAGTGGCTTCAAGGTTCGAGGTAGTCGATCGTGGGTCGTGTGTATCAAGTTGAGCACCTCTTGATCGACAAAGACTAAGGGAAGGGTCACCTGCATGCAACAGCTCACTTCAACTCATCAATCATTGAAATGCATTTTGGTATCGGGAGACAAGAGAGGTATCCAAGGCGGGCTCACGGTTAGCATAGGGCTGCTGATGCGAGGGGCCCTTCAAGCGAATGTTGTTCCACTGGTGGCATGCATTGTACTTAGGGCGCTCAGGAGGTGGTGCGGGCGTGTATAAGGATACCGAGCATCGGACCTGGGGTACCACGTACGTACAGCTTTGTGCGACTTCCATTGATTTGACGTGACCGAGCTGACTCAGATCCCTGGCAATCCAGGGTCAGCTTTTGACCGAAGGACAACCGAAAGAGACAATGTGTGAAACAGACAGCGATGAAAGAATCTTGATAATGAAGCCGAGAGGTTGATTCTCATTGAATGTATAACATTGTAGGTCGCTTTGTCGAAAGCTCTTCATCACCAAGTAGCACACTTGCGCGCAGATGGTGCCGGAGCAAGTCCTCGGCTCCACTACATATCCGACTCAGCACCTGGTTCCGGGACACAAGATCACGGGTGCTCAGAGAGGCGTCGCGCAGTCACTAGTAAAAGAGAGGCATAACGATATACACCCATGAGATCGATCGGACATACCTCCATCTTACAATTTGGAGTCACAGTAGTCTGAACGAAAGCGTGCGGGAGATGTGACCGTTCAGTGGGCAAGCTGGGCAATCGATTCCTCCGAGTGCATGTTTAGCTGCTGGCGCAGCTTGAAGACACGATTGTACTAAGAGGTGACTTTGGAACGGGTCGCTGACCAGCTACTCGACGCGGTGCTTCTGTAGGCAGTTCAGAGGGTGCATCGCGTCAAGGTGGTCTTCGTTCGCGGCACAGGCTCATGTATCCTTGGCAACCGCTCAACCTTTTGCCAAATTTAGGCGGCGGTGGCTTACCTCATTGCTTCCCTCCACAAGCGCTCCATGCTTAACCGCGCTCCATCATATCCTGAACGCAGGAGTCTTCCTTGTCTACTCCCATCGGATGACTTCATGCCTGCTGAATATGGCTATGGAACACTCTGGATGGTGAGCAGCATAGCATAAGCGATCGTCTGATATAGCATACATCATAGGGGGATTACAGGACAAGCGTTGATAGCAAATCTACAGGTGTTAGCATGACAAGCAAAAGCTACGAAGTACGGGTATGGTGCATGGCGTGAAAACTATAAGGGTATGTACGTGTGTGCAAGGGGTATCTAGGCTGAAGTGTTATACAAGGCACGGCACCCACTGTGGCCAGTGATACCGTGACGCACCGTTCTCATCTAGCTTCCACAAAGCTTAATAGGTATACGTGGGAATAGGGAGGTCAGGGGCCTCTCCATGTCTTCTGCGACGCGGTTGACAATTTCTGTGCCTGATGGTCCACATATCAGGTCGAGCAGTCACGCCACAGATGTGGCATTTGCGACGCAGCTTGAAGTGGGAGTACGATAGAAGGTGGTTCTTGAGCCACCCCTTACCATGGCTCGATTCCGTGCACCCGCTCAACTTGCATCGTGATGACTGAGCAATGCCGTATTTCTCCTGGAGATAGGGCACGAGCTCATGGATGGGCATAGGGGGTATCGGCTCGTTGTCCCAGGTCGGAGGGTTGTTGTGCCAGTCGACGCAGTGAACGTAGTATTCGTTCTCACCCAGCGGTTTCTTGTAGTAGTATTTCTTGTTGATCGTAAAGAACTCGACGAAATCTTCGTGCTCTGCCTCTTCAGATGCCGGTCTAGTGTACGGCTTCGCTTTGGACCGGGAGCTCCTCGGAGAGCGCTTGGGCCCGCACTCCGAACTAGACGAAGTGTCGGAAATCCTGTAAGATACAAGACATAATGAGACTCCATCCAAAGAGCATCAAAGATAGGATACTCACACAGAGGCTAGCTCTGCCGCCTCCATCTCTCGCTTCTTCCTCTCCTCTTCTTCCAGTCGCAACTCGTCGGCGATATCGAGCAGATGCTCGTACAAGGCCCTTTCTCCAAATTCGTCCAAGAGGAAATGCTCGAAGTCGACCAGATCAGCGGAGAGACCCTCGTTCTCCTCAGGAGCAATGTAGCTGTGATCAAGGTCATGAGCTTCGGTGAAGAAAGGAGAGTCGACCGTACTCACGCTGGAGGGGGCGCCGGCATGATGAGCTTTCCATCTACGAAGTACTCCTCGTATAGTAGCGACATCCTGAAGGTGACAGTGGTGTAATGAGATATCAATGGGCGATGCAGGAAGCGGGTGAGGGTATAGCGGAAGTGGAGAACTAGCTCTACTAGCGAACGTCAACCACGTCGGCGCACTTTATATCCTGACCCCCAACACAATGGTGCAGCCCACCCGCAAACTCTATCTGACAGTGCCAAAGCATATCCTTTGTGCGCCAGCCGCGGTTCAGGCAGAAAAGCGTGGCGAGGGAGCGGGCGGGCCACCAAAGCGGCCGGAAGTCCTGGATTACCAGGGTAGGACGCGCGAGCCACTCACGAACCCCTAGTCATGGGCCGTCAGCACGCGGATAACAACCTCCGATGACGTTCGCGGGCCATGGCAAAGCGTCGCTTAACAACCGGTCCTTTGGCATCCTGGACACGCTCACCAGCCGAGTATCCTGAGATGTGTGGCACACTTGGCCAAAGGTCGGCCAAAGACTCCGCTGGGGCCCGAAGTCCGAGGCAGAGCATACGTCGAAGATGGCACAAGTCCTCCGAGGTGGGTATTGTCTCTGAAACAGGATTGAGTGCATCATACATTGAACTTGGTGATGCCCAAATGCAGAGGCTCTGCCTAAGGTCCCAATTGTGTCTTTGCACGGGAATCCTATAGCCGTCTGGATCAGAGACAGTGGACGTGAATGCGAGCAGACTACTTGAGACGCAGCGGCATCATGGCATGGTTTGATGTCAGCGCCGAGCATAGCCATGTTGGACAGATAGGGGTGTGGCAGTGCATGTGGATTGTCTTCTGCCTCACAACGCCACGCACTCTCGGCCCAAGGTTCTGTGAGATCGGAACCCTGACATCCATTGTCAATCTGATATCCGGGCCATGAACATTTCGTGTCTGTCTACGGAGTGTCACGGAAGCCCATGAGATAGGACATGATCTGGAAAGCAGCCTAGCGCAGTGTCTCTTGTCAGCCACAGCGCTCTTCCACAGGAAGCGCCCAAAACGTACTTTAGGTGAAAACTGCGGGACCCTGCGGCGCCAACCGAGTCAGTCAGTACCCATCGCGTACTTCAGTATCATCTGGCACGCACATGTGTCCACTGAGCGAGACCTCGTAGTAGGTCAAACCGCGCTCGGTGTGAGTGTTCCCCATAGCGCCCATCCCCTCGACCACGAAACTGTCGTTCTTGATCGGAGTGTGGAAGCCTTGCTTGCCGTTCCCTGCATGACACGACGTCGGATGAGTGAACCAAAGAGGGCACGTTCGCAGGAAGCCTCACAGGTCATATTCTGAATCACTATCCGCGTGCCCTCCGCGATGAGGATGAAGTCCGCCAGGCCGTGGACGATCACCGACCGCTTGCTCTTCTCGATCGCGTTGGGGAGCACGGTGAACGCGGGCGGGAGCGAGGCGTCGCCCCGCGGGAACACGTCGACGTCCGAGCACTCCGCCCAGGAGACGTTCGCCGGCGCGTGGATCGCCTTCTTGACGTCCGCGCGGTCGAAGTAGATCGGGGACTGCTGCTGCGGGAACGAGCCCGGGAAGCCGAGGACGTCCCAGAGGATGGGCCAGGTGTCGAAGATGCGGTAGATGTTGAACGCGGGGTTCACGAGCAGCGCGGCGTCGAAGATCGCGTCCCAGACGTCGCACCCGTGGTCGAACTCGGTGCTCTTCCCGGGGAGCGGGAGGAGGCCTTTGGGTGGGAAGGTGACGTGTTTGGCGACGTAGCCGGTGTAGTTGCATTTCTCAGCGACGGAGTCGAGGTGTGCGAGGAAGGTCTGGCTAACGACGGGACCCGAGCATCAGGATGTATCTGATCGGATGGAGAGGCAGAGGAAACGTACTTGAACGAGAAGACACCCTCATACTTGTGCACGAAATCCACTGCAGGGATCTGCTCCTGGACAACATCCCATCCAAGGACGGCTGTACTACACAGTCAGTTCGATCAAGAACTGCGACGAAGCCGAGGCCACGTACGATCAGAAACCCAGAAGCCGTTGAGCGTAAGGTTCAAGTCCGTAGGGTGCTCGTAGATGTAATTGGCAAGGTCTTAACAGCACACGTGAGCAAATCCAGTTTATGATTAACAAACGTGGGTCACTTACAAGGGACGTACATGCCCGCGTAACTCTCGCCGGTCAGGTACAAGTTTTTGCCCTGGAGCTCCTTGAAGATATCCAGGAACTGCTGGAAGAAGCCCACGATCTGAGCGGCGACATCGTTCTCGTTCTACCATCGCAGTCAGCACGCGCACGGTCTCTGAAACCGCCTGCAGAACCATACCTTCACGTTCGGCTTGCCCACGGAGAAGCCCGTGCCGACAGGCTGCTCAAGGAACAGGATGCTCGACAGGTTCGTCCAGCTGAACTCGTTCTGGGTGGGGCGCGCCTGGCCAAGCGACCACTGGAACGGCTGCAGAACAGAGCAGAACCCCGTACAGCGTATGCGTATCAGCACACCTCGCCGAACACAAGTGCGAAGACATTACACGTACGCCGTTCTCCTGGAGCAGGCCCTCGAGCGAGGAGCACCCCGGGCCGCCGTTCGTCCTGCATCGAAGGAAGTTCACACAAACGTCAGTCAGATGATGCGCCGGACCCCAGGGGGACGCGTGCATCGCCAGGGCCAGCGACAGGGCAACGCGGGCGCAGCGGCGCAACACGGCATAGGGTGACACTTATCAGAGGGGCGTGGACGTACCAGAAGATGAGGTCGTCCAACGAGCCCTGCGGCCCGGGCGGGAAGAACCAGAAGAAGAGCTATATGTGGCGACAACGCGCGGGGCCGTGGGTAGTGAGTCACCAAAGTCGCTGCCTGCCCACATGGAGAAGTGGATATGTCGAGAGACTAGGATGCGTACCTTGCGGGTCTCGTTCGGGTCGCTGCTGATAGGGATAAGTCCGGACCAGCTGGGCCCTACGTCGAAGTCGACGTCTGGGATTGTCGTTCCGTCGACGTAGAACTCTGCGTGGTGTACACGCAAGAAAGGATCACGCGACACACGCACGCGCTTCTGTGTGAGTGGAAGATATAGTGACGCGTAAGTGCAGGAGGGGACGTACGGGACGCGCGGGGGTCACTGAAGGTGATGTTTTTCACGCCCGAGCCGGTCGCGCGGGGCATGTTCGCGCGAATGCGCGCCGCGGCTTCGGCCTGCTTCGCGTGCAGCTCCGCCTTGGACGGGAAACGCGCGTCTACGGACGCGATCGCGGCGACGCTCGCGAGGAGCGGGAGGAGGGCCTTGTGGAACATAGCTGCGTCCCTGGTCGTGCGATGGCGGCGATACAAGAATCCGTCAGTCGGGCGCACAGGTCAATGCGGGCGAAGAGCCTGAGGCGACGAAGGGGAACGCGGGGGTCGTCCGACGTGTCTACCGCGGTTTTATACGTCTGGCCGCAGACGCGGGGTTCACGGAGCAAAGATCGGAGCTGCCGGCATGGAAAAGATGTTGCAGCGAGGTTCGTCGAGGAAGCGATGGGCATAGGCGGTGCTCAGTCGCCATGTGGAGAGGCGGGATCATACTGAAGACGATGATGGTGGTCCATATGTAGGCAACGGACAGACGGCCGCCGGCTTCTTCTTATCGCGCTATTTTTGAAAGCATTCAGGCAAGGCGAAGTACTCGAGCACGAGTTAGCAGGAGAGCGCACTACCCGATGCTGGCGCAGTACGCGGCGAGGGTTTCACCAGCGCAATACAGTGGCGTTCAGTCGGCTGCGGGGCCTTCGAAGCTCGACTGCGCTTCCTGGAGTCTGATACCCCGTCCAGACGCGACATGACTGTCCCAAGAAGACGATAGATGCATGTACCGCCACGGTAAAGAAGTGGGCGGGCATTTCGGACGCGATCTATCGAGTCTATTTCCGCTAGGTATCAGGGATCCAAGTTTCAGCTTGTCATCTCCGTATAGCGACGGACGCACGGAACCCTCGCCCTACATAGATCACACGGTGCGGCTTGAAACCGTTAAGCGAGAGGAACAGTGATTCATTCTATGACAACAGACACTTTCAATGTAGAAGGCTTTCATTGACGGAAGGGGATAGGATTTTAATTGACAGTCCGTGTCGATACAGGTTTTCACGTATGTACGAACCACCGGACGGTTAATAAACCAGACTCGCCTAAATGAACAGTACATTTAGGAATATGTATGCTCTTCTTAGTGCTCGATCGTCCACGGGTAACGACACAAAGTCCGAACGTTCAAGCGTGGAGAGGGCGTCGTTCATCTTCCACATCACCAGTAAAGGAGACGAAGGCATCGTGCGCCATGTCCCTAGGCATGAGCGAGTGGGTCGTGTCGCGGAGAAATGATACGGTAGCAGACGAGGACAGGACGAGTATTGTTCGACGTAACAAAAGTCGTGTTGCATGCAACCTCGTATGAGGTCGAAGGAGGACAAGCTGAAGGGCAGCCTGGCGGCGGCGAGGAATTTTGTCCGCGCGAGGCCCTGCCCTGAATCCCATCCACGTGACATACACGCTCCAGAGGGAGACGCGCCTGGCCTCCGCGTTTCTCTGTCTGCTCGCGCGATCCTCCTCCTCCTCCTACTTCCCACTCCATCCTCGTAGCCTTCTCAGCAACACCGCAGACAAGTCGACGATGATCTTGACACCCGCGGGTGCACCTCCTTCACTGTGCTCTGCTCCAGGGGAGGCATCCTCAGCAGTAGCAAATCCCGCACAGAGTCCTGCAACAGTACCACAACCACAAAGGCCTCTTCTCGACATATCAAACTCGCCTACAGGTCGACGCATACAAGGCGGAGAAGATAGCGTAGGAGACACCTTATTCCTTGAAACGCTCAAAGTGCCGACTGTGATACTCGAAACCCCGTCCATCTCGCATACTATGGCCGCCGCTCTCTCCCTATCCCTTCTGGGCCACACACTCTTCCTGAAGAGTCAAGTGCCCTTGTGAGTGTTCAATGTCTTATTCAATATCAGCGTCTCACGGTGGTTCCTGCACTCCACAGTCCCATCGCCCAACTCTCGCGCATGCCCGGCGGCAAGAGCAACCCCAAGGCCGCCAAGAAGCGCGACGAGCTCCTCGCCACATTTGACACCCTCGCGTCCCACCTTCAGACCACATTCGTTGCGATCTCCACCGCGTACGCCAAATGCAAGTCTGCGACGAGCGACGAGAACGGACACATCAGGGATGTCGCGAGGCCTAGCCGAGGAACGGCGCACCTGATGTTCGTCTTTGGTCCAAGCGCGAACGCTGCGCGCGCTCGTATTGTGCTCACTATTGATGGCTTGGACGTCAAGGTGTGGGGAGTGCGACCATGCGATTCGTTATCCCGTGACGATGACGATGTCGACGGCGAGGAAGACAGTGATGAGGACAGCCAACGATCAGCAGAGGTCTCTGAGGAGGAAGGGAGCGACTCGGAAGACGACGCGAGCGAAGAAGACGACGTGAGCGACGTAGAATCGTTTGGTTCGGATTCTGGGTCAGGTCCTCCACCATCCCGCTCCCCTTCTCCCTTACCCCCAAACCGTTCTCTTGCACCTTCCCCCGAATCCCTCCCTTCTCCCTTCGCTCCTCTGACGCCGCTCCCGGAGAAACCGACTCCATTGACCTTCGCCCACCCGCCTCCAGTGCCTTCGATATTACCACCGGTCGCGCCTAAGCCGCAGACGGCCCCTCGACCACCATCTCCCTCACTGTCTACCCCGGAACCCAGTGCGCGAGCATCCACGACTTCACGCGATGCATCCCCTGCACCGGCACCTACGCCAGAGCTGACATATGCGGAGGAACAGCAAACGCTCCGCGCCGCCGAGCGCCTGCTCTCGCGCACGCTGATGAACGCGTGGGTGGACGGCGAAGGGGACATGTCTAGCGAGCTCGGTACGTTCTCGTCTCGGTCTCGTCCTGCGTTCATGCGGCCTACAAAGTGCGCTAGGCTAACCCAAGCACCGGCCCAGCTCCGACGCAAACTCACCTGTTCCTCCGCGCCCCCCGACGATTCGCACACCCCGCCTGGGCCGCCCGTCAGAACCTGACGCGCGCGTTGGACGGCGTACTAGCCAGCTTCCTCGAAGACGCGGGCGCTCTCCCAGTGCCCCCAGCTGCGAGGCCCAAGTCCAAGTCTAAAGGCGTGCGCACCGAGGGCGCGTGGATCGGCTGCAGGGGCGGGTCCGCTTACGCTGCAAAAGCGCAGATCAGCTCGTCTGTGGGGCGCGGGGCGGATGTGGAGGACTCGACGCTGGGCAGGGCGGACGAGGAGGACGAGGAGATCTGGTGGGCTTGGGAGGGCAAGATCGTGGGCTTTGCGGATTGGTGAGCGTTTTGTGGACTCTCTTGTTGTGGTACGTCCGCGCTTTCAGGCTGGGGAGATTTAGGCATTGCATTGAGTGTGTATGTATACCCGTCATATTGTATTGACCGTAGATCAGCATCCAGAATCATAGCGGCTCTAGCATTACTGTGTCTAGAGAGTACATAGTTCTCTAGACAGAAGGAATGGTAGCGCTCGAGAAACGTATGACAGCCTGGCGCAGTCCAGAAAGGTCGGGGTAAGTCGTCCACTGGTCACTCTCCTTGACCAGACTTGTGTACCCAGGAAGGGTGCTCTCTGTCGTCCTTGGTGATCGAGAACTGTTCACTGACGCTCCACAGGGTGGCTTGTGATGGTAGATGACACGATGTGGCAATACAATACAACGTGAGCTTCTTCTATTCCTCAATGACTTAGGCTAACGTATCCTGACAGGTTGCGAGGTTGTCGCCGCCGGTATAAACGTTCGGGACGGTGGCCTGGACATAGCCACGCTTGGCCCGTCCCACTTTTTCTCCCTACACGATCGCACGCAGCGCTCGGCCAGGGATGTTGTCGCGGATCACACGGGAACGTTATTGCTATGACTGACCTCGCAACGACGCCTACAAGAGACTTTCCAGAACAACACACCCGGTCGCGTCCGTAGTGTCGATGGCCGCGAAGCCGTCGGGGTCGTAGTCGACCTCAGAGTCGGAGGCGAGCGAGTAAGTGTACGGCCGAACTCTTCGCTGTCAGCCGGAGCATACGTTGCCGAGGGGAGAGGTTCGTTGATGACTATGGCTGCCTCGGAACCGTCGATGTAAGGAACGAAGTAGTGGGAACAGCCAACCCCACCAACAGCGAACCCAGCACCAGCGATCCTTTCAACGGGCAGAGGTGCGATCGTCCCAGTCGTTCCCTGCAATGAGATGATTCTTCTGAAGAACGTCTGCATGTTCATCGGTCGCCTGACGAACACGACAGAGTCGCAGTCGACGACGAGCTTGAAAAAGCGAGTGCTGAAGGGTTGTGCGGGCGAGGGAGTTGTGGAGGGGAACGGAATTGTCGGTGGAAGACAAGGTGAGGAGAGGAGATCTGCTGCAGGAAATGACGACGAAGATAGCATGCAAGTACTGCATAGCAGCAAGGAAGAGGACAGAATGCTTCTCTTCCGCGGAGGATCTCGCTTCGATAACTATCGAGCGCAGGCAACTCCACGGAAGAGAAAATTCCCCTCGCAAGGAAGGGATGCCCTCGAAAGGGCGGTGCTCCTACCGGCGGAACACCGTTTGCTCCCCGAAGGGAGGGTCTTTATCCTCCATGTCTCCATCCACAGAGGGCCCACCGCTGGGCGCGTGCTGCAACACCCCCGAAAGGATGTCACAGACTTTGCCGACACGCACCGGACGTGTGGCTCCCGAGCACGGAGCAACGAAGCAATGAACGGCGAGGCCTTAGAGTTGGCGTACCCCACCGCCCACCACCCCGCGCCCCACCACCGACCGAGAGGAAGAGATTGGAAGAAGGCCTAAGAAGCGGCGACCCCCCGTACCCTCGACCGCCCCCCTCGCTCCCGACCAGAGGCTGCCCGTGTGTTGTCGAACCGGAGAACGAGCCGAGAGAAGAGGTTGGTAGTACGCATCAGGGTTGGACCCAGTACCGCACACCGCGCCCGACCCTGCGACAAGTCCTTCGTTGGCCTCTCAGGCACGACGGCTCGAAGAAGGATTGACGAGGCCTAAAAGACGGCGAGACTCCGTACCACCGCCGCACCCTCTCCTCGTCGCCGCACCTGGTCCCTGGCCTGGAGATCTAGATGAAAATGTGGAAGTCAATTGCAACGAGTCCGTGTCCGTGTCCGAGTCCGAGTCCAAGTCCAAGTCCGAGCGCGAAGCGTTCGAGTCCGTGAACGAAACAGAAACCAAAACCGAGACCGAGACCAAAACCAAAACCGAAATCAAAGACAAAAACAAAACCGAAACCGAAACCAAAACCGAAACCGAAACCGAAACCGAAACCACCGAAACCACCGAAACCACCGAAACCACCGAAACCGTCCAGTCCAAGAAACCAAGCCGAAGCACGAAACACAACAACGTCCAGCCAAACACCCCCGACGCGGGAGACCAGGTTCACCGAGGCGATCAACTCCCTCCCCCAGCCCCACCAACGCCAACCTGTCGGCACTGTCGGTCTTGAGGTTCGGAGGTCGAGGTGCGCAGCTTGAGGTCGAGTCGATCGGCTTGTGTTGTAACGTGGTCCGTCGGGGAGATCTGCGGAAAAAAATAGCAGCAACACGAACGCAAAACGCAGACGAAGCAAGACGAGATGCCCTAGTACGTGCGTCATTGCCGAGATCGTCAGGGCCATGACTCCCTCCCACGAACAACTCAGCGACGTGTGTCGGGCATACCTCACGGGCACACGGGCCCGCGATCCGGGGTCCAGGGTCTTCGGCGCGCGCGGTTTGTTTTGATAGTCGTCCTGTCTTGAAGGTCGGTCGGGCTAGAGGGGGGAGGAAGGGGGGCAGGAGGATGACCGGTGCACGTACTGAATTTATGTCTCGCGTCCATCAAGATCGAGACTGATGCATGGGGCTGACGCAGGCGGACACTCTGCGGCAGTCAACCTGTCTCTTCACAGCCCTGGGTAGAGCTTGAGCTGAGATACTTGGTCGACAGCGCACGGCTGTTAGCATTCAGGATAGCGATAGCAATACACTCAGGAGCTGCCTTGCGCGCTTGTGGTTGTGGAAATAGTGTTTCCCGAGACAGGCAGATATAAGGTTCAAATTAGATGAATGTCTATATAGAAAACAGAAGATAGCAGGCTGAAGACGTCGGCACTACGCGCCCTACCAAAAAAAAAAGATAGCAGGCAGTTGGACGACGAGGGAAGACAAGGTTGATGCAGATATGCATGGACAGACGAAGCGGACATGAGGGCGGCCAGGCGTCACTGCACCGACCACTGCCACAGGCCCCCGTAAGTAACGCCAGCTAGTAACGCCCGTGCCTGCATTCATCATCTCATCTCATCTCGTCCGTCTGCACTCACCATCCCGATCAAGTACTCGTTACTTGTCCTATGAATTGAATAGAATTATTACGCTGAATTTGACCATAGAGACCCCATTGTTCTCGGCAGGAAGACGACTCGCTTGGCAACGGTCCATCTCCGAGTCTTCCTGGAACTGGGAGTCTTGGACAGTGCATTTAATATAACCTCAGGACAACCGTATGTCATCTCCTTGACCTCCAGCTCGTGTGGAGGATCAATGAAGAGGTATGAGTCCTGGTAGGTAGCGAAACATTGTCATGATGTAGTGGTGATCCCTCGTCAATTGAGCCCCTCATGCAACGACACGACCCCCTCCCCAAGTGATGCTGTGTCTCTGTCCTGCAACCTATGTACACTCGACAATGGTAATGAAGGCATTCACATTCAATATACCATCTCGGCCTCCGGTAACAGGAATGGGCCGGTATACCGTCATAAACGCGACCAGCGAAGTCGGTCTCGTCCCCCCAAAACCACCGCCTAGCTCCCAGTTCGCTCACCCGGTTCGCTTCTTACCGCCACTACCCTTTCCCCGCTGTGCAGTGCCTGTTCTTGTCCCTCGCTCGCTTGCGACTATGTCTACCAACACCCCGATCAAGTTCTGCACTTTCACGATCCCTGACGGGTCTGTAGTCGAGTACAGCAAGTGGCTTACGCAACCGATGCACTCCAGGTCCACCCACCCTGCAGGTGAGACGCAAGCGACGAAGACAGACAGGACGGACTCTGGCTGTCGATGCTCGTGCGACGGACGCACTTGAGGCGAGTCGATGGATGCAGGCGGAGAGGAATGAGCGGAGACGGCGAAGGAACAGGAGGCAAGACGAGCAAGACGGGGCGGATGAGCGAGACATCGAGCGGGTGCTCCTTCACGAGGGCGCGGTTCACGATCAAACCCAAGGTGCAGTAGTGCGCACGAAGAAGACGAAGACGACGAAGGACGCGAAGAGCGCGAGCAGGCGCCGTGAACAGGTACGTTTATTACTCAGCTCCACTCTTCATCAGTCACGCTAAGCAAGTCCCAATTCTGAAGAACGTGGCGCGCACGGACGACCGACGGGCGATCTACGCCAGGATCCTCCAGCTTCAGAGCGGGGTGGCGAGCCTTGCAGCGAAGGCCGACCGTCTGCGGCCTTTTGGCAAGTCCAAGTTCTGAGCATCGACGGCGTAAGGTGCTCGGATCGGACCAGCAGATTCCTTTTTTTTGTACGGACTCATCACTGAGTTCGTAGACTGGTGGCTACGGCGTGCAACTCCGACTGGGTAGACCGGAGACCGTGCGCTTGAATGTATACTACACAATTCTCGACTCGCGAACTGTTTACCATGAGAATATTCAATACATCGCCCACATATGCAAGTGACATTCTGTATCGCCATGATCCTGGTCACCCGGTCCGAGTGGGCTTGAAGTCGCTCCTTCAAGGATCCTGGGGAGCTTCCTGTGTACACCGACGTGATAACTGTCGATTCTGGCGTTCCCGGAGCTCCAGCGCGAACGAACGTCGCCCGGGCCCGTACCGTCGACGTCGGTATGGAGGATGTCGGGTGGCCCGGCGCTGGTGCATAGGAACGTGGGAATCTCGCTCTAGACATCGTCGGGGAACCCGGGAGCATCCGACGCGATCCGAGGACGACATGTAGGGTTGTGGTTTCCCGCGCAGCTCATTTGTTTGAGCAAGTTCAGGCCACGTCGGATACTTACACGCTGTTACCGCAAACCTTTGTCATGATGTGAGTGAGTCGGAACATTACGAACAGGATGCTGCACTACTGTACCTGCCCAGAGTTGTTACAAGCGATGTTCCTACAGAACATTGGTGTGCACGCTGAATACTCCGATAGGTCTATGTAATCATGGCCATGTGAACAGAAGGACGCAGGCCTCGGCCCCTAGGACGACTTTTCTCATGCAGTCACTCTGGCATATTGTAATTTGTCGCATTCGCCACTATGTACGGATCGTAGCGTGCCGGGTGGCCTCGGAGGCCATTCTATGCGACCGTGCTTGTGCAGGCCGTGGTGCTTGCCCGGGGGCGTGCCGATACACGGTCAGGTGAACGTCCATCCGTGCACGGCCGCCGTTCCATATCCCATCGCGCGTTCTCGGAGACGTCCATGGCGCAAACTAACGATCCCGTGCGCATTCCCCACAGAGCCGTGCGAGAGTCCCGCATATAAGCCCTGCCTCATACTCGGGGAATGGCGACAACCACCTCCCATCCATCTCTCCCCTAAATTCCGACCTAGTACGACCATGTCCCTTCTCAACACCTCTACCGCCGCCTTGAAGCGCGGACTTGCGCCGCGTACGTATAACCGCGGCCTGAAGGTGTGTGAACTTTGAATCACATCGAGATTGACCCATCGGCTGACCTCGTTCAAGGTTCTTGCAGTTCTCTACAAGGGAGGTGAAGCAGCGAAGCAGGAGCCCCGTCTGCTGGGAACAATCGAGAACCAGGCGCGCACACACCATTGGGGTTCGGCTTGCTTCCATTGCTGACATGCTTCTATCATCAGCTTGGTATCCGCAGCTGGCTAGAGTCGCAGGGACATGAGTTTATCGTGCGCATATAACCACTTCTCACACCTGTTAAGGGTCACCAACGTCTTCACAGGTCACCGACGACAAGGAGGGCCCGAACAGCGTCTTCCAGCAGCACCTCAAAGATGCTGAGATCCTCATCACAACGCCCTTCCACCCAGGGTACCTTACCCGTGATCTCGTCGAGAAGGTACATTCTTCGCTCCATCTCAAGTCCTCCTTAGCCAACTCCGCTCTTCTTCTGCATGGCAGGCCAAGAACCTCAAGCTCTGCGTCACCGCCGGCGTCGGCTCCGACCACATCGACCTGAACGCCGCCGTCGAGAAGAAGATCCAGGTGCTCGAGGTCACGGGCTCGAACGTCGTCTCCGTCGCGGAGCACGTCGTCATGGACATCCTCCTCCTCGTCCGCAACTTCGTCCCCGCGCACGAGCAGATCACGCGCGGCGACTGGCAGGTGTCCGACGTCGCGCGCAACGCGTACGACCTCGAGGGCAAGGTCGTCGGCACGATCGGCGCGGGCCGCATCGGGTACCGCGTGCTGGAGCGCCTCGTGCCGTTCAACACCAAGGAGCTGCTGTACTACGACTACAACCCGCTCCCTGCCGGTGCGTACTTGAGTATGCCGCGCCTGTAGTCAGTCACCAATGATCTGTGCAGAGGCTGAAGCGAAGGTCGGCGCGCGCCGTGTCGAGGACCTGAAGGAGTTCGTCTCGCAGGTGCGCACCCACGCTCCATAATTTCCCGCACGCACTCACGCTAGCATGTCCCGCAGTGCGACGTCGTGACGGTGAACGCGCCCCTGCACGAAGGCACGCGCAACCTGATCAACGCCGACCTCCTGCAGCACTTCAAGAAGGGCGCCTGGCTCGTCAACACCGCGCGCGGCGCGATCTGCAACGCCGAGGACGTCGCCGCGGCGGTCAAGTCCGGCCAGCTCAACGGCTACGCGGGCGACGTGTGGAACGTGCAGCCCGCGCCGAAGGAGCACCCGTGGCGGTACATGCAGAACCCGCTCGGCGGGGGCAACGGCATGACGCCGCACTACTCGGGCACGACGCTCGACGCGCAGGCGCGGTACGCGGCGGGGACGAGGCAGATCATCGAGAACTACCTGCAGGGGAAGCCGCAGGAGCCGGCGAACGTCATTGTGGGCGTCGGTGCGTGTGGTGCTCTTCGCGTGTGCTGTCGTTTGTGCTGACCGTTTGACTCGTGGCGGACAGGCAAGTACGAGACCAAGGCGTACGGTCAGCGGTAGAGACTGTGAGGCATTGCTCGTCTTCTGGACGTGGGTCTAGATGCTGGGACGACTTTGTTGCGCTGCATATATATTCGTATCACTCGTCAACTGTACAGTATCCATGACATTGTCTGATTTTGCCCTGTTCGAAGTTACTGTATCACGGATCAGGCGTGTTGCAGGGGCGATCGAGAGAAACGATACTGTCGTGCGCGAAGCCCGTGGTAGTGCATAGTCAACATTCCCTACTGAACCCTGCGAATCAGATGTTCGGTGAAGCTTGGACTCAATCATATTTCACGCATGAGGATGGAGGCGAGCGGGCCCGAAGATGATAGCATTTTTGGGGCGAGCGACGAGTCAGAGGGAGCACGACCAGCATGTCCCTGTCGGTAGCCAGCATACAAAAGAAGCACAGAGTCCGCGAGCTCAAAGTCCAAAAAAACAATCCCATGTCCGATCCCATTCTAAAGACCCCTACAGCGCCATCCCTGATCGCGTTCGCGGCCGCGTTCCGAATCTTCTCGCCCGTCTTCGTCACGTCTCGTATCCGTCGTCCGATCCATGTCGGCACCGGAAATTCTGCGACATACCAAGAGACGGGGGAAGGCATATACGCGGCCCCCATGCTCACGCCGGGCGTCCCCGACGAGAGTCCAGTAGCCGTCCCCCGTCTCTAAGTCCGCCTCCTGAGAGAGGAGGCGAACTTTCCCAGCCCGAGGCGGACCGCCGCCGCCCCAAGGTAAGACCGTGAGCGGGCTTGCAGTCTCTTGAGGCCCTTCGCAGACGAGTCCGCAGCGGAGGAGCCGGGAGCCACCCGGCTCGACTCCCTGCGCTCACCTGCGCTCGCCCGCCTCCTCGTCACCAACGCAGCGTTTGGGTCCGCCTCGACCAATTCCCAGGAGGACGCCGACTGTGATGGGTGGACCGCCCTACCAAGACGGTCCTCCGCCATGCTGCAGCTTCCCCCGGAGAAGTCCTCGACGAAGATCGACTTGATGTCGAGAGGAGCTTCGGCACTGGCGCTCCCACTCTCGACACCGTTGCGACCTTCGTCGGAAACGTCGTCTTCGACTGCCATAGTCACGTCCTCGCATTGGTCGGCCTCGTCCTCGCATCGGTCGGCCTCGTCCCCGTCCTCGTCCTCGTCCTTCGCGCTCCGCTCGGGGAGAGTCCTGTGAAACAAAGACACCGGCTCCAGGTAAGCGCCACCCCCTGCATGCCAATCCTCTTCCGAGAACCAGCACACAGAGGCAGACCCAGAACCAGCGCCCTGAAAGGCTGCGGAGACAGATCGAAGAGCGTCCTCATCGCCGCTCGACGCAGCCTCCGAACGCGGGGAGAGTACAGCTTCGGGCAGAGGTTCCGGTGAGCCGCCGAACCCGCCTTCCCCGTCTACCAGAGCGCTCAATCCCCATTCACCATAGTCGTACTTGTCCGTGTCCGGGAGACCCCACTCGCCCGCGGTGGGAGTGTACTCGGCCTCCTCCCAAGATCGCACCTGGCGGTCGAGGTCGAGGAGGCGGAATTGCGAGGTCGCTGAGACTGAGTGACCGCCCTCTTCAGGTAGGCTTCCCAACGCCCCCGCGGAGGGGGAAAGGGAGACCGAGGCAAAGGGGTAGCCGCCAGAGGGAAAAGGGAGAGGTGGGTGGAACATTTTTTGCAGCGTTGCTCTCGAGAAGTGGCCTTGGTCGTCGGTTTCGTGCATGTACCGTTCAATGAAGCTAGACATATTGGCTAGAGCAGATGGACAGAACAAGTGTTACCGCGCAGCAGTATGGGACAAGTAGGAAGGTGTGTGGTGGGGGGAAGCGAGCAAGTCCGAGGGTTCATAAAGGCGAACGTCGAGGATGTTACGGTCGAGACTGGATGCTCGCCTCGCGTCGTCATAGGATAACCACGCCCCGTGGCTGGCAAACATGTACGACATGTGATTTTTGGTACACTGAAAATGTTATGGGAGGGCTCAGCGATAACCTGAATGTAAGCAATATACCTGGTCATCCTTAGCCGAGCAGCCTGCATCGAAGTCTGAAGCCTGAGGAGACCTAACGTATCGCCGCCACGACTCGGATGACTAGTCATTTTGTTTCACATAGTGTATTGGACATGACCGTATGGCGTGCAGATATGTGTCGTTTTCGCTTGAGTGCGGATGCCAGGGCCTGCGAGTCCAACGGTCAGAGCAAAGGGGATTTGGCGCGTTTGGGTTTCCTTACCCGGCGGTCGCTGCCGAGCGCTGACACTGCTCTCCGACTTCCACAACATTCGCTCTTCGGACGGCCCTCAAATCTGTCGCAGGGCATGTTCAAGGCCGTAACGTGCACCTTGAAGGCCTGAATGTGGTGATGTTTCGCTACTCTGAATGCGTAGACGTTAGAATACGAAGCCCTCGCGCGACTTGCACTTCCGGCATCCATAATACTAGCATCGGATGCTCAGTACTAGTCGTCCAGCTCTAATTCGAGATAAGTTGACTTAGTCCTGTCAAAAAATCTCGTCTACAGGCGACATGAATCTCGCCGGTTAGCCGTCTCAAACGAGACTAGCGAGGTCAGCCTCCTCGAACTCCAGAACTCGCCGATGAGCTGACCGCTCCCCACCTAACCTGACTTGTACCTTATTACCTCAGTCCTGCTGTGCAGTACTCACATCTTGTGCCCACCCTGCTGCTTGCGACTATGTCTTCCTACACCGCTATCGCTCTCTACACCTTCAAGACCCCTGGAGGGCGACACTTCGGGCGTTCAGAGCGGAGGAAGAACAAGGTCGTGGCTGAGTACAGGGCGTGGTCCGTCAAACAGGCTTTCGCTAACCTTCCTAGGTCTACCAACGCAATGGCTGCATCGAGCACGACGAAGAAGCAGACGACTGACTCGCCGGTCGTCGTCGTCGACGATACGGCGAATTTACAGGTGTGCGACTCGATGGTCGTGGACGAGGAGGCGCGGTGTGTGGTGCAGGGGCACGGGGACGCCTGTGCTTCTCCCACCGAGCCGGTCCTCCTCGTCGAGGGGAGCCGCAGCGGGTGCGAGAGTGGGAGTCAGAGTGCCGAGACTCCTCTCGTCGCCGAGTCGGCTACCCTCTTGGATCGCTCCGGGGCGCAGGAGGTAAGGACGACGCCGACGACGGACAAGGTGAAGATCCAGAGGAACACAACATCGGAACGAAGGATTACGAGGAGCATGGGCCAAGCCGAGCAAGACCTGGTGGACGAGCAGGAAGTGGAGCGAATGCTCCTTCTCGAGGACGCGGTCGACGACGAAGGCGGGAACGAGACACAAGCCCTTTTGACGCACACGGAGAGGACCGACGAGAAGACGGAGTCGACTGTGCAAATCGAGAGGAGCATGGACCTAGCGTCCTGCCTCTACGCACAGGTGGACGAACAACAAACGATGATTGCGAAGATGTGGGAGATGCAAATTGAGGTGGCGACCCTAGCAGTGAAGGCGGAGCGTCTGCGGCTGGTTTAAGCATCGACGGCGTGAGGTGCTTAGATCCGGCTTTCCTTTCCCTGTCTCTGGTCTTGTTCGGGTCTGCGCGCTGGTGGCTACGGCAAACTACCTGGACTCGACACGTTGGCTGTTTTGTATGGTTTCATGGTGGCTCCGTGATTGTCTTGGCCGGCTTCGTAGGCGGGTGGCTACTGCTTACGGTGTCGTCTGGGCATCTCGGTGACATTGCGCTACAGCTTATTGAACCGCGCCAATCTTCGGGCTGACATCGTCTTAGCGTGAGCATCCCCTGCCGTGAAATAGACTAAGCCCAGATTGTCTTGATCCCTATGTCAGAGGCCAGTGTATCAGAGCGATGTGGTCTCTTAGCGCTACACTCCATCTCTACGAACCTCTACCTCGTCCCTATCATTTCTCTCTCGGTGTCCTTGTTATAGAACTCTCGTTCGTTGAGAAAGCTTCGCCCTTCTCGTCGGTCGACCCGTCGTAATGAAATTAGCTGTCATGAGGCTCAATCGTCCTCGCCGCGTAAACGTTGTCATCAGCCGGGCCGGCAGGGCATTCTCGATTTGGTGCTCTTTCCACATATGGAAGGAAGACTGGGAAAGAGCCCGGTAAACACCGATGAACCTTCAGGGCGTCGAGGGCGTCGTTGAGCGAGACGTTGGAAACGTTTTTGCACTCGTACATCCACCTGGACGACTTTCTAGGAGCTGATGCACGAGTTACCCATTGATTCCCTTGTCTCGCTAGCGTCCTTTCAACAACTTCCCTAATTTCATGTGGACTTGCTTCACTCAACATACAGTCCCGATGGTGCGTCAGTGTCGAATTCTCCAGGAGGAGAGAAATGTGGTATGGTGGGCAGGAGGAGGCGGTGAGGCGAAGCACTCCTGGTGATAAGCGTCCGATTCTGGGAGGGATGGGGGGGTTACCATATGCGCTGCACAGTGTGTGGCGTTGTCCCATGAAACACCTAAGGTGAGTTTCTTCCGAGTCTACGATGGCATTGTCGAAGACATCTCGTCGCAGCTGGACAAGCACAGAGCCGTGGAATATGGTCTCGTCGTAGATTGTGATCCGACACCGCCACTGAAGGTAAACAACCGCAAATATGCATTGTGTGGGCGTCTAACGCGCTTAGAGACTCACGTCCATCTCGTCCTCACCCTCTCCGCCTACTCCAACGGAACTGAGGCCATCTGGACTGCCGTCGCATGAGAGGATCCGCCAACTGAGGAGGAGGAAGATCTGGCTGTGGTGGAAGTTGTGAACACAACTCCGAACACGGTAATCTTCCATGAACGAGCCCTTCAACTTTCAGGGCGAGAACTTCGTCTTCCCTCCCCAATTTATCCCCCCGTCTGTGCCAGAACAGCAGTACTCTCAGGACTACTTGAATCACTCCTTGTTTTATCAGCCTCAGCAGCTCGGTGATCCCTTGGTCGACCCCGCGCTCGTGGAGCTTGCACCTCACTCGCCACCCCCGCTCCCCTCGCACATTGTATCTTCACCATCCAACAATCTACGTATCAAGATACCAGCTATGGCCCCTACTACTCGTGGTGCGTCGCGCCAGCAACCTAGCAGTCCCCTTGCCTCCGGCTCCGAGTACCACGAAAGCAATGCGTCCATGGATGTTGAGGAGAACCCGCAACCGGAGGACGAAGACGAGGAGGAACCGGTTGAGTACGGCGTGTCCTCTCGCGGCAGACGTATCGCAAAGAAATCGTATCAAGAGTCTGCCAGCGAGGACGATCCCCTCGACTCAATATCCCCGAAGGGGAAGAGCAAGGAAGCCCCACCGGCGAACGAGGGCGAGGAATCAGACGGGCCCCAATCACGCTACGCCCTTCGTCGCACTCGTAACCGCCCCCAGATGAATGGTTTCATTGTCAGTGACGAGGAGGATGGGGAGGCGAAGGTTGGCCGATACCCTACGCGTAACAGAACGAGAAACGGCGCAAATGGTCGACCAAGCGGCGGTGGTCGTCTTACGCGACGATCGAACGGACGTTCGCAAACTCAAGCCTCCTCTTCACGCCCGACTCGCAATCGTTTGTCCACCCGCCGCACCCGCTCCAGTACTCGAAACAACGAAGATGACGAGGATGGTTACGTTGATGAGCCCTCCTCTGGCTCGGCTGATGGCGAGGGCTCTATCGATGAGGCACCTGTCACCTCCCCAGAACCCGAAGCAGATGCAGACGCCGATGGGGAGGCCGATGTCGACGGTGAAGGCGACGCAGGACCAGAACAGGACGGCAAACCGTATTCCCTTCGTCAACGGGCGAAGATCAACTACGCCATCCCACCGCCTCTCGAGGAGATGCTCCCCCCTCCGAAACCCCGGTCGGGCGGCTATAAGTCCCACGGTCGTCATCCTAACCGTCCAAAGCCCCCTGGCTGGAGCGCGACGGGCGCGGAGTTGAGCAAATGGATGGGTGGCGGGGGAGATGATTCTGTAAGTATACATTTCTGGGTTGAAGCATAGTGTTATCCCTCATCACTTCTCAGGACTCTGACTACGCCACTCGCACGCCTCGCAAACCGTTTGGTGGCATCTCAGGGGCTGGAGGTAGTGGTGGCATCTTTGCTGGGGGCGCAGGTGCTGCTGGAGGCTTCCTGCCTGGCGATCTTGCCGCAGCTGCGGGTACCCCGTCCAACCTCGGCAAAGTGGGAGACTCCGGTAAGATCTACCTGAATTTATTTCGCACCCAGTGCTTGAGACTCGAGTACAGCTCTCGCCGATGCCGACCCCCTCGGCGTGAACCAGAACGTGACGTTCGACGAAGTCGGTGGTCTCGATGACCGTGAGTTTTACTTCGCGTCCACGTCTTACTCCTTTGTTTATCGCGTATCCTCAAGACATCAACTCGCTGAAGGAGATGACACTCCTCCCTCTACTATATCCTGAAGTCTTCCAGCGATTCAATCTTACCCCACCACGCGGTGTTCTTTTCCATGGTCCGCCGGGTACGGGTAAGACTTTGCTGGCGCGTGCACTGGCAGCTAGCTGTCGATCGAATGGGAAGGGTATATGTGAGTCTTTGTTCATGTCGTGTTCTCGACTGTTGCCTCACGCCCGCGTTATATGTAAGCTTTCTTCATGCGTAAGGGAGCGGACTGCTTGTCTAAATGGGTCGGCGAGGCCGAGCGCCAGCTTCGGCTACTCTTCGAGGAGGCTCGCAATCAGCAACCAAGCATCATCTTTTTCGACGAGATCGACGGTCTCGCGCCTGTGCGTTCGTCAAAGCAGGACCAGATCCATGCCTCCATCGTGTCGACTCTCCTGGCACTTATGGACGGCATGGACGGTCGCGGCCAGGTAGTCGTCATTGGCGCCACCAACCGTCCAGACGCTGTCGATCCAGCGTTGCGGCGTCCAGGTCGCTTCGACAGGGAGTTTTACTTTCCGCTTCCTAACCTGGAGGCGCGGGAGAAGATCCTGAGTGTCATGACGAAGAAATGGGCTGGTTGGGACGGTGAGAAAGGCGCTGAGAACGCGAAGGGATTGGCTAAGCTCACGAAGGGTTATGGCGGCGCCGACCTCAGGGTTCGTCCTCATGTCTAGTACGTGCGATGTGTGACGTTGACGTTGAAGATGGCAGGCACTATGTACGGAAGCTGCACTGAACGCCGTGCAGCGTCGGTATCCCCAAATCTACAAGTCGAACGATCGACTGTTGCTCAAGCCCGAGACTATCGAAGTCGAGCTCCGTGATTTTATGATCTCGGTCAAGAGTGGGTACCTGACGATCCCGCGAAGCTGTGCTATGACGTTTACGCGACCGATTTCTAGAACTCATACCCTCCTCGGCGCGTTCAGTGTCCTCGGCCACGTCCCCGCTTCCTACACAACTCGTTCCGCTCCTGCAAGAGCCGCTGGACAAGATTAAGGAGGTCATCGGCAAGGTCTTGCCTGTGAGCAAGAAGCGCACCGCGCTGGAGGAGGCAGAGTGGGAGGACGTCGGTGGCTCAGAAGGCGCGCTTGAGCGGGAACTCATGATGCAGTCTATGGAGACGCTGCGCATATACCGCCCGAGGGTGGTCTTACACGGTCCAGCCGGCATGGGACAGAGCTACGTTGCTGCTGCTGCGCTGCATCATTTGGAAGGGTACCACATCCAGAGTCTCGATCTTGGATCACTGTTGTCTGACTCGACTCGGGTATGTCGCATTCAGTCTCTTCAGCATAACAACACAACTGATGTTCCTTGCTAGACTCCCGAGGCTGCTATCGTTCAGCTTTTCGTAGAGGCCAAGCGTCACCAGCCATCAGTGGTGTATATCCCATCTTTGATTGGATGGTGTGCCGCCGTCACGGAGACCGCGCGGACTACTGTACGCGCCATGCTCGATACTCTCTCGCCAACAGATCCCGTGCTTCTTCTCGCGGTAGTAGATGGCGCCTTCTTGCAACTGCCCCGCGACGTGCGGCAATGGTTTGGTCCCATCCGCGAGAACCGCGTTGCCCTTGTCGCGCCTAGTACAACGCAGAGGGATGCGTTCTTCGAAGGGCTGTTGAAGGATGTACGGCGACCGCCTATCGATTTCCCAGATGGGATGAAGCGGAAGAAGCGGGTGCTTGAAGAGCTGCCTATCGCGCCTCCTCTGGAGCCTCGGCAGCCGTCAGCGGCGGAGCTCGCATTGCAGCAGGACAACGACCAACGTATCATCACGTTGCTCAAGTACCGGCTTGGACCCATCCTGAGCGAGCTGAAGAGGAAGTTCAAGCGCTTCACTAAGCGTGCGGCAGTACGTATGCGCTTCTCGGATTATCGACCGTTGTTAACGAAAAGATGTAGGAGGAGTACAACTACGATTTTAGCGCGCCTAGGCCTCCGCCTCAAGTTCAGGTAGTCGCACAATCCGTCGAAGTGCACACCGAGCCGAACGGCGTCATGGAGATCGTCGATGGGCAGGCTGAGCAGCAAGTTGTAGAGGTTGCCGTTGTCAACCAGGTCCAGGAGCAGCTAGTACAAGAGCCACCTCTCTTTGACATGGATCTCGAGCGGATGAACGTTGAACTATACAAGGGCCGCTACCTGACACCAGACGACTTCCTTGACGACATTCGTAAAATTGTTCACAACGCGAGCGTCAGGATCAACGAGGACCCAGAGCGGCTATTCAGGGCGCAGGCGATGCTCACCGCGGCCGAGGTCAGCTGTCAAGACTTCGACCCGCAGTTCAGACTCGATTGCCAGCGCATGGCTGCCCGTGAGCGCCAGAGGCGGGATGAGTTCAGGAAGACCAAGCAGCAAGAAAAGGCCGCCGAGCAGCCCGTGCAGAATGGGGAGTACGCTCCCGGCACTCGGCGCAGTGCCCGCCATACTGGTCAGGAGCCCGAGATCGCGATCACAGACCCGGTGCAGCTGGAGCGCAAGCTCAAGAGACAACGGTCGAACGGGGTTGAGGCAACTCCTTCTGAGGATGAGATTGGCGAGCATGTTGCAAAGAAGTCCCGGACCGATGGCGAGGATGCGGGTCCTTCTGGCGAGCCACAGTCCCCGACTACGGGTGGTCGCTCGTTGAGTGTGCGTTTCGCGGATGAGGTTGCGCCCGGGATACAATCGGCATCTGGCAACGAAGGTACCACGGCCACCTCCGAGCCCAATGCAGATGACACACAGGAGGCTCCTCGTCGATCCGGCTTCGACCCCGCACTTCTCAACCCTTTATCTCCCACAGACGCCCGTGCCGGTATACCTACCGATCCTCCCGATAATCCGTTCACCGCGACGCCCTCCACCTCTGCAGCTGTCCTTCCTCAGACGCAGGTAGTTCCACAGCCCAACGGTACCAGCAGTAACGCGAACGGGCTGCCAGCCGATGCCAGCATCATCCTAGACGGCGAAGGCGACCATCCAATGGAAGGCACTCAGCCCGCAGAAGCGCTCGAGGCAGAGCCTCAGCTTGAGGTGCCGATGGAGGTTGAGAGGTCCCCGACGCCTCTTCCCGACTTCCATATCGATGAAGACTCGTTCACAGAGCTCAAAACTTACCTGCGTGACGCCACGGGATCGCTCAACATCGAGCAGCTTGAGCAGCTACGTGCAACGTGTCTCGGCTTAGTCTGGCGGCATCGACAGGATTGGGATCGGACTATCCTCTTACGAGAGCTGAAGGAGGAGGCGCAGGAGTTCATTCAAGAGGTATCGTTGGATGATGTAGACGCGGCAACTCCCTGAGTTTGTCTCGCGTGAGGTTTGGCTTGTTTCGGACGACTTGCAATATGCTTCATGGTTTCTCGTGAATGGTCTGACATCGTCTCGCCCTGTAGATTATTACTGTCACTAGTATTGCTCATGTATCCCCCAGCGCCATCTCTACCTAAATGCATCATGAAGTGTCATCATATGCGCGAACTGGACGGACCGACTTCCTTCAGGCCGAAATTTAAGGAATTCGCACCACCGAGCACCGTAGGCGTGTCCAAGGTTGCATACATCATCATTTGCCAACCTTGCGAACGAGTATGTACTCCCCTCATGGCCATGCATGATAGTTGCCGAAGCCCGTATTACTGCACTACGTGTTGTCAAGGCTGACTCTTCTACGACGCGCCATCGTCGGGCGAGACGAAAGTTGCAGGGAGGTGTTGGCCGACCGCTTACATGTCTCCGAGCGCGCCGACGTCAGGAACGGGATAGTCGGGTGGCCCGCCTCGACCACTGCGAACCCCCAGCATCCGAGGTTTCTATGAAGTCGAGTCGTTGCCTGCAACGAAATGGTATCTCTTTGGTACTTCTGCATACAGCCTGGTCCTGGTAAGCTTGCCGAGCTGTTGGAGATGTCCCACAAAACGCCTATATTACAGACTGTACACTTCGATGTATAACCCATGGTTAATCCGACTTCCTTACGCGTCTACATCAACGAATGTGCAGTCCTCCCACTCCAGCACACGCCCTCTATCCGTCACGCCTTGTACGTAGAACCGCGCAGCCTTCGCACCAGTCAAATGTCCGGGTAAACAAACCGGGTCGACAAAGAACCTGTTTTCCCTCCCGTCGAGACCCGTCGTGCCAACGAACGCCGCAGTTTCCGGAGCGTACGCCTCGCCCTCCTTAGGCTGGCCCTGCACATACACGTTGAAGTAAGCAAACCCAGGCGTGAGGTGATCCAGCATCCACGCAGCCTCCGTATCTTCGGGTGAGGTTAGCCTGATTGCGGGGACTAGTCCGAGAGAGACTCCTGTCCCCCACGTGATGACGCCCGCAAATGGCACCGCAGCGCTGTCCTTGGGCTTCTCAGACGCAAAGTCAGCCCAGATGACTTTGGGGCTGAGTGGGGTGTGCTGAGCGGAGGGCGGATTGGCGTAGACACTGAGTGCACCGACGGCAACGGAGAAGTCGACCGGCTGGGATGGGGCTTCGCACGTGAACCCGATGACAAGGCCTGCAGCGGATAGAACGTCGGTACCGCCTCCGTATTCGAGTGGAAGAGAGAAGTCGATGAGGAGTTCTGTCCAGCCACCGGGAAGGGGAGCGTTGGATGTCGCGGGCACGAAGGTCACGTCGAATTCGGCGCTGGGCCCAGGCGCGAGGGACTTGATGGATGCCCCGATGTCGGTGTCAACTGGTCCTGAGACTTTGTACATGATCGACATGCGGTAGGACTTCCGGGGAGTGATGGCTAGGGACTGAATCGGGAGCCAGACGCAACGGAAGAAGGCATCTTCGGCGTCGGAGCCCGGGGCGGAGAAGGAGATGAGGAGCGAGCTCCCGCCCAGCCAGGCATCGTCCATCGAGATGTCGGACGTCGCAGCTGGTACTGGCTCGTCACGGTCCCCGTTCTCCCATGCAAGCGTCGGCCTAGGGAAGACAAGGTCGCCAATGGACGTACATTTGTCAACGTCCGTCCACCCCGTTTCACTCACGAACACCTTCGTCCCTCTCACAAACCACGCCCATCCGACCCCGGGCGAGAAAGTGGTGAAGAATGGCAGGACCGCAGGGTTCGGTGGAGGCAACCTCGGGAAGAAGTCCGCGATCGGCCTGAAGGGCCCATGCTCACACGGCGGCTCGCCCTCCTTCCGCCCGTACGGCGGCACCTCGACGTGCTCAGCCTTGTTTGGGGGCCCGAGCCACAGCTTGCGCTCGTACGCCCACCAGGTCTTCCAGGACCACCCTGGCTTGTCCTGCTCGCTCTCCCAGGTCCACGCCTGACCAAAGAGGGCGACGCTGAGCCCCAGGAACTCGGGGTCGATGTGCGAGATCGCTTTGTATGAGCCGAAGCCGCCACCGCCGTGGGAGCCGCGGCCCCAGACGTCGACGCCGATGTAGAGGTCTGAGAGGTGCTTTGGGCGGGGGAGGGTGGATTGATCGAGAGAGAGGAGGTATCGGGCTGACATTGATGGGTAGGTGTTAGGCCACTAGACATCACGATCGATTAGTAGGAGCTTGAAACAGGGCGACAGCAGTAGTGCGCACTGTGTAGTTGGAGAAGAAGGAAGTCGAAGGGAGGAAGAAGGGAAGGTTGACACTGTTCAGCCTGTCTTGCCAACGCAGTTGACCGTTCACAATGACGCTGTCATACCTGAGACGCAGTTAGCTAGTAACACACATTCATCGGCAACAAACAAAGTCACCACATCGCTTCTGCATGCGAGCCAACCTTCCGCTTAAGCTCCTGTTCCAGGAGAGCAATCCACAAGGTCAGAGCCCGAGTCTGTTCGACCCCGCCGCGCAACGGAGCCTCGAAGTTCAAGAGATAGCCATCAAAACCTCGCTGGTAGGCGATCTCAGCGAGAAGCCGAGCATAGTGAGGAGACACTGGAATTGTGGCATATGCGTTCGATCTGGCAGGCCCTGTTCGCGATATTGGAAGGCTGCCGACGAGCAGTCGCAAACAGTCGGGTTCAGACTCGGCGTGTTCGAATATTCTAGCCGTGGATCAGTAGGCATGACAGCGCAAGGCACAAAGTACGCACAGGGTGCCGAGCATCTTCACACCATGACGATGAGCAGCTGTAGACCATCCCGGAGGGGGGTTTGTCACTCTATGGTGAGAGAAGCTAAGATAGTCGTTCAGCGTGTTGGCTCTTGCAACTGGGAAGCTGATGTACTAGATGAAGGTGTCACAATATGGCCAAAAGTTGAATGTATATGTAGATGCTGCTGGCGACTCGGTGTAGCCTCCCTGAGTGGTTCGAGACGATGAGTGACAATTAGCTGGGCGAGTCTGGAAGCCGAACCTTGTAATCGTGGCAAACCTAGTAAGTGAGATCGGTCTCAGTGAGAACCCTCGTTTGGCATGCTTGAATGCACTTACCAGCAACTTGCCTCTTGTCACCCGATTCGACACGCCCTCAACATCGCTTCGAGGAGTGAAAGGCAGCACGCCGTAGTGCTTGTGGATGGCGGAGCTTGGACTAGCGGCCCATTGATCGAGATCTGCGAGAGATCGGAAGAATGGCGCGTCGTCCGAAACAAACGGAGAGTGGTTTGCTCCTCTGATTGGCATTCTATCTACTCCCTAATTCGTAGGAACCGGAGGATCCGGAGGCGCCAGCAAGGGGAACAAAGGGTTAGGCACAGGATATCAGTACTGCTGTCCTGTCCTAGGATTCCGGGCGCTCGCGGGCCGGCTAGCCACGCGCAGTTCAAAATATCGAGACTGTTGAGTCCGGCGAGTCTGCCGGAGTCTGGCGGACTCCGGGGATCACATGACGTTCTCGGGAAGCACCCTTGGCGCCCAGACACCTAGACCTGTGCCATCACTCCATCTCGGTAATTTACGTCTCGCCCCCCGCTATTGGCTGTCCATACATATTATATCATATCGCATAGCGTAGAAGTCTATTCTTATGATATCTTCGATTTCCATGCATGGTTACCTGAAGGTCGCTCCCGCAAGTCTGGGGTATTGAGGTTTTCGCGACGCAGCTGATTCATTGACACCACCTTGCATGAGGACAAATCGTAGTGAGAAGACGATGTTCGTAGAGGCCCTCATCGGAGAGCTATAGAGCGCTATCACCCACCAGAGGGAAGATCACCTGACACCCTGCCGCAAAGATTAGGCTACTTCACGCAGTATCATGT